GAAATTCTATAATGCCTAGCATTGCTTGTATATCGGATTGTTCTCCCAGTAAAGCGATATCGTCCGCGCATGTTGGTGAACCTACATGTATGTTGCCTAGCTTTGCGCCTAAATCGCTGGTGGATATTGCATTGAGAATGGTGTTATTATACCGTTTGTACAATAGAGATGATAATTTTGCACCTTGACGTACCCCTTGCAAAATATTAATGCTTTCTGATGTTTCATTGTTCCACTTTACTTTTAGAGACAAATCTTGATAAATGTTACGAAGTAAAATCCACATGTCTCCTTCAATTCCATCATGAAAAAGTTTATTTAACATGATGTCGTGGCTTAGCGTGTCGAAAGCCTTTTCTGCATCGAGAGCGACGAGTTCTAATAATATTTGTAATAAACGATATAAAAGAATTGTTTCTGTTGTAATAAAGGCTGCAAAAAGACTTGATGCCCCTTCTGTAAAACCTCGTTGTAGTGGATTATGTGATGGTAGTAGTTCATATTCTAGTCTTCCTTTAACAATGGATTCAAAGATTTTAGAAAAGATACTTGTAACGACAATTCCCCTGTAGTTTCCAGGTATGGTTTTATTTTTCTTCTTTTTAAGGACAGGTGTTAATATACCATTTTTTAAACTTTTTGGTACATCCAGATTTGTGAAAATATCATCAATTATACTTGCAATTTCCACAGATACTTCATCTACTGCTTCTTTATAATGTTCAGAACATATACCATTTTCATCTGTTGTTTTGCCAGTGTTCAGATTTTTTATAGCAGTTTTGACTTCCTCAGGAGTTGTTTGTTTAATTCCTTTTTTGGAGTATTGATTTTTAAGGATGATGTCATTTTGCAGTATGACGCAGACTCAACTGTATCCATGGTATCCATGGTAGTTCAAGTTCTTTTGGATAGATAAGTTCAATACTGTAACAGTAAGCGCACATTGAACTACCCAACAAGGAACATCATCCTCACAGCGGAAAGTGAAGCCAAAGGACATTGAACTACCCAACAAGGAACAACATCCTCACAGCGGAACGTGAAGCCAAAGGACAACGCCAGCCTCCCAACAATCCTTCCTAGAATCCCCTTCAAGAAGTCAGTCCCAAATGAAAAATAGTCGATAAGATGAAGAGCATAGCCGTCCACCACAAGAACGCCGACTGTCCATAAAAACACGTCCTCTAACGCCTGTGCCAAAGCTGTTCCTTACAAAGTATGATATATCCCTTCATAAAACAAGATATTCGTATCTTCGTTGGATATTCTCACCGGTGAAGCACTAATACAATGTTAACAATTTCCTTTGGAGCAATAATGCGTTTAACTGCATTGTTTATAGCGTTTCTGTGTAAAATCTACTTTGAGTTATTTCCGCAATTAAGATGACATACTTTCAATCAACAACAATAATGAGAGACTGCAAGCGTATTCTAAGTACGGTTTCATTTAGTATATTTACTTGAGATTGAACATTGAACTGTCAATACTGACCAACACTCAACGCTTCCTCAGTCGGGATAAAAGGGAAAGGGCAGGTATCAACCAACCGACCACCACTGTCAATTTCTAAATGAAAGTCAAAGAATGACGAAGACCAATCACTTTTTTGGATGTTCTTCATTCGAATTTAAGGTAGAGAAATTGGATAAAAAATCATTATTTCGTCTTCAGCATGTTCAGAGGGCGAAGAAAGATTATGACTCATACAAATGAAAAATATGATCGCCGAGAAGAAGAGCATATTGGTCCCATCAGGAATGCAGATTTTCTCTTTAAAGCACACCTACCGAAGATAACATATATGTCGTCAAGCTATCTGTCACTTCATAAAAGGTATGTGTATAAAAAATATGGTAATTCCATGTCGTATTATATATGATATCTTTTTAGACTCTGCCAATTAATATTTTTCAGAGTCTTTGTATTTGAAGAGGTAATGTTTACTTATATAGACGAGTGATTGACCAGGCTTGTGTTTTTTTTTATTGTTGTCCTCTTCGCGTCGTTTAACTTTATGGCAATGGTGTTGTCTGTCTTTATTGTACTTATGATTTTTGTTGCCCCCATTTAGGTCTTCACTCTCTTTAAATGTTCAATTATAGATTTGATTTATTTGTAGTTTTTGTTGGATTTTTTTTTATGCAAGAAGGTGTTAGTTTAGTTTAGTTTAGTTTAGTTTAGTTTAGTTTAGTTTAGTTTAGTTTAGTTTAGTTTAGTTTAGTTTAGTTTTTGTATCTTTATTTGTTTTGTTTTGTTTTGTTTTTTGGGGAAGGGTTTTTTGAAGACATAGCTTTAAAACGATGTATTACAATATGAAAAACCCTTTAACCAGGTTGTGTCAAATATAAAAAAATTCAAAGTAATATGTTTCGATAGTTATTACTGTGTTTTGAAGTACACAGCAATCTTGTTGTGAGAGACAAAATCGTGACTTGTTGTATTGTTATTGTTATCGCTTTTCTTATTCAAACTTTTGCGTTCAAATATTACCGAACTTAAAATGTAAAGGGGATATCAGTAAAAGGGTCGAAAGGTAAAGCAATAGTCAATTTTTACAAAATCAATAAAACGATATCGAAAAAAAAATCATCAAAGTTTAACCACTTCTGTGACGACAGCCTATTCATTTACCGTGGTTTATTCTTTTAGAATCAACGCTTCTTTAATACATTTGAAATGAAGTCATCAAACTATACTTAACTGTCCCCTTTGTGCACTTAATTCATTTTAAAAGTTTGAACTAGATAATTAACTGATTTCTGTTCACAACTGGAATTAGTTAATAAAAAAAGCTTAACTTTGAATTTTTCAAATATCTATTTGCAACGACTGGGGTTCGAAATAACTCCCTCCTTGAAGTAAATTATGCGTCACTGTTCATGAACACATCGACAAAACCTCTCATCTACCAATCGGATGATATTATAATGTCTATTTTACATACATCAATATGATACGGTATAATATATAGGGATTGTGCTTTTATATATTTTTATACATATAGTGTAGTTTGGTTGTCGCAAGGTTAATAGAATGAGTTGAGCTGGCTCATGGTATCTTTTTACCGAACTAACGCTTTTCCATTGTATCTCATACACATACCATACACCGTAAGTAAATTACCAACTCGGGTTAATTAAGTTACTTGTAATCTTAAAATTTTTAATGTCGGGACTTACCTATAAATTCGAGAAGTTCAAGTCTAGCGTTCCAGACTGAAAATCGAGTTTATATAAGTTTAAGATATTTTACATTTCTAATATTGTTACTTTGTTACAGTGTGTGTGTTTTGATAATACAGTATCGAACTTTTAATCGACTCCGAGACTCAGTCTATATTAACTGACAATGAATAGTTGAGCCTATGCCAGATTCCATTTAATTTGTGTAACAAGGTTTTGCTATATCACGATACCAGTTGAATATTGGGGTAATCCTTCAAAATTAGCAGTAGAACACTTACTTGAAGCTGAGATAAAAGTATGTTTTAAGGATATCTGTGTAGGTTATGTAACTTATACATAGAAGGAACCTTATATGAATAAATGGTGTAGATGTATGGAACTTTCAGTCAAAGTATCCTGTTTACACGACCAAATAATTTTTTATCAATTTAATAATTCCTACAAATTTGTCAGGGATTGCTAAGTTAAGTAAATATGGCTTGCTTTTATATACTTAAATATTTAATATGTTTATTAGGCAAATCAGTGTCCTTCCACATAATCAAATCAATTTATCAGGCCGGATCTTGTTGTTCACACATATATTAAATCAGTTTATCTTGGATCTTGTTGTCCACACATATTTAAATCAGTTTACTAGGGATCGTGTTGTCCACACATATTTAAATAGTTTATCAGGGATCTAGTTGTCCACACGTATTTAAATCAGTGTGTCGGGGATCTTGTCACAGTATCCAGACATATTTATATCAGTTTATCAGGGATCTTGTTGTCCAGACATATTTAAATCAGTTTATCAGGGATCTTGTTGTCTAGACATATCTATATCAGTTATCAGTGATCTTGTTGTTCAGACATATTTAAATCAGTTCATCAGGGATCTTGTTGTCCAGACATATTTAAATCAGTTCATCAGGGAACTTGTTGTTCGGACATACTTATTGTTATCCTATTGAGAAATTTCCGATCGTGTAAACAAGTCTTTATTTAATTTTATCCATAGAATTTATCTAAAACTTTTTTTCTCCTCTTAAGGTGAAACGTATGTATTAACTGTTAACGATTTTCATCCGTTTTGACCAATTAATATTATTTTTTTTGGCAAATTTAGGAACCCGAATGTTCACCTCCTTTTCTGTTTATTGAACCCAATCAGTTTTTTTTTTATATAATTTTCCTATAAATTATATATGTCTAGATGTCATTGTTTTAACTGGAGGTACCTATTTTGTATCTGGTTGCAACCGCTCTGAGTCCGCCTAAATCATGTAAATAGATTTAAACTTTCTCAACTCTCTTAACCATTTTATTATTTTTTGTTATTTTGTCCATATCATTTTTTGAGTTTCCCTAAGCAAATCATAAACTTTGCAGTTCCTGTAAATAGGTGTAGGGGCATTATTTGGTGCCGGAGTTTTGTACTCGGTACCTATATTATTATTAGTATTATTTTTTTATTTTTTTTAAACGTAATTGCAAGGATTTGTATAATATTACCAAGGACGTATATTAGAGTTAGTTATACGTCCTTGGTATTACAATACAAAACCTTGGTAATTGTAAAAATGCTTTTCTAAGGTTTTTTTACCAAAATTTGATTAATTTGATGACAATGATTGAAAATTAAAGTCTCCAGTTGTAAAAATGGTGAGATTATTCGAAAAAATAAATACTATAAAAATAGACCATCTAGAGAAAAACACTGAAATGAAAAAAAAAAAATGAGAACAGAACGGTGATGGAGAGATCTCGGTCCCTATCACAACCGCTCGGTACAAACAAGCCATGTTTTTGGCCGTCCCTGTAAAGGGACACAACTGAACAATTTCCCACAATATTTCACAATCAAACGTGGAAGATTTACAATTATTTTCCTCATATGTTTGGCAGTAAAATATGCCAGGACACACGAATAAGAAACAGTCACAAAGAACAAAGGGAAATGTCAGGGTAAATAATCAGGAGAAACAGCTTAGTGAAGGGAAAATTATAAGAAATCTGGTATCACTATCAACATGATATAAGATAAGAAAACTTTATTTTGATTCGGCATAAGTTAAAAGACACAACACAAGCTCTAAGGAGCTTTTGACCGAATATAAAAACATATACATAACATAAAAACAGTCTAATTTGACATATAAATACAATGATTGTCAGATTGAACAGTTGAACCCAAGCTCAGATATTCATAAATTGTACATCTGTTACGTATACATGGGTTTTAAATTAATCTTGACATCATAATTTATTTACATGTGTAAAGTGTGTGATACATTTTTGATTGTCGCGTCTGCTTACCTGTGGTTTAGTACATATCCGTACTGATGCTCTTGGATGGCTCTCTCTGTTTATTGTAGTGTCTCCTTCGTAGTATCCATTCATCCAAAGAGGGGGATTGTGGGTACTACCAGTAGTTTGTTCTAAGATGGTTTGACTAAATAGTAAACACCTACCGCTACTACAGACAGTCTTCAACAAACAACTTGCAGATATTGTTAGGAAGGGGGTATCTGGTATCAGGTCTGTTCCCCCTGATTACATGTTCGCCCTGGGTCCGTTCGCCCATAGAGTTTGTTCCCTTGGATTCGTTCTGCATACTTTTATCAAAAAATGTTTATAATACAATTATTAAAGTTTAATAAACCTATTCAGATATTTATATGGTATAAATTCTCGAAATTCATGAAAATACAGGGAAAGATTTTAAACGGTTAATGGTTTGCTTTGGAACATTTTAAAATTGTTCATAATAATAATTCTCATTGATTGTTGTAATAATCATAATTGTCTTTAATGGATTAATAATTAAACAACATTTTGTTTTGATAAACTAGTCAGCTTGGAATGTACGAATTGTAAAACATGAAAAGGATTCATACGTTCATTTATTATTATACTGCATAAATTGACTGACTAGACTAATTTAAATTGTTAACAAATATCAATAAAGATAAATGACAAGTCATAAATACCATGAATACATTGTCATTGTATTCCAGTATTCTACTATGCAGATCAATTTATTTATTAATTAATTAATTATTTGGTTGCAGCAATACAAATATTCGGCAATTTTTTTCAACAAACTTTAACATACTCTGTTCAAACAGAGACATATATATACATGTGTATATATGTCTCTGGTTTAAATAATAAACATTATGCTACTAAACAACAATGGAAAAAAATATAAAAATTAGGGCGAATGGACCCTGGGCTAACAAGTATTAGGGCGAACCGGTACCAGGGCGAACATGAATCAGGGCGAACGGACCCAGATTTGGGGTATCTGGACTAATCATTATGGACGGATGCAGTGTGTAATAATGTCCATAGGAAGTGTCACCTTACCATATCAAGATCATGTTGGTTTTGTCTAGCTTTATTGTTATGATTAGAGAATTACTTCAGAACTATAAATAATAGTAAATACTAATCTTAACCAATTTCCCCCCATAATGAATAATGTAAACAAAGAGACCACCATCATGTATATTATTGTCACTTCCATATCTGGTTAATTTGTTACTGATCAGATAAGCACAGAGGTTAGTCAATTTGGTAACTGGTCAAGGTGGTACCCAAGGTAATTATTTCGGCACTTATGGTTAACATGATGTTTTGCATTGAAGTAAAATACCAGTAAATAGATTAACATTGTAAAAGAATGGATAAATAAATAAGAATTAAATCATCTAAATTTGGACTCTAATAATATACAATTTTATATTAATAATATATCCAACAAAGGATCATTTATCAGGCGCAACAAAACATGCATAACTTGAACTGTTCAATCCAAAAATGTAAAAAGCTAAATTTTTTTCATAATACTCATAAAGTTGGAAAACAATGCCCTTATATTGATATTTGTAACAAAATATGACAGAGTCCTGAATAAATTTACTCAGTGCCAATGCACTAGCAATTGAAAGGGGGCGTTATTGTAACATTGAAAGAAAACAATGCTTATGCCTGTCTTGTGACAGAGGGGAAAAAAAGGAATATGAATACCATTTCTGTTCAGATTGTCCATGCTATGCCTTATTTTAAGAGGTCCCTATTTAAAAAAATTAAACACATACATGTATTAAAACTGTACAAAACTGCATTCAGTAATATCACTGAATCATATATCCACACTGTTGAGCAGCAGTTCACCATTCATTATAAAAATCACTGCAAAATACATTAATGACTCTCATTAAGAAAATAATGTCTAAATTATAAGTTTGTTAATATTTATGTACATGTTAATTAATGATTATTTACATGTAAGATCAGGCTAATTAGTCCCCTACCGACGAAGTCGAAGGGGACTTTAGGTTTGCACTCTTTGTCTGTCCATCCAACAGTCCGGCAAATCAGTTTTCCACACTTTTTTTCTTCATGCTTGAAGATATTGACTTGATATTTGTTCTATAGTTTATCATGACAAGTTACAGATCAAGTTTGAATTTTGTTTCGGTCTGATGATTTTGTGCAGAGTTATGGTCCTTGGACTTAGAAAATTCACTTAAATAATAAGTTTTCCACACTTTTTTTCGTCATGCTTCAAGATATTGACTTGATATTTGTTCTATAGTTTATCATGACAAGTTACAGATCAAGTTTGAATTTTGTTTCGGTCTGATGATTTTGTGCAGAGTTATGGTCCTTGGACTTAGAAAAATCACTCAATTAATCAGTTTTCCGCACTTTTTTTCGTCATGCTTGAAGATATTGATTTGATAATCAGTATATAGTTTACACCATGACAAGTTATACATCAAGATAGCATTTTGTTCCAGTACAATGAATTTTTAACCGGTAGGGGACTATGTATTGCCAATCAATACTCTCAGAATGCTTGTTTTTGGAGTCATTTATTATTTTATATGTTTTTAAAATTCTGATATGAAAGCCACTTTCACACTCTTTCTACAGTACAATTGTCTGTTTTATTGTTTATTTTCAATCATGCCATTACCAATTAATGCAAATGTGTTTGTGCTAATAAATATTGTGCATTGTCTAATCTTTTTTTTTTTTTACTATTTTCACGCGAGGCTCACTTATAATAACACATAGAGAGTAGTGGGGTGCTGAAATATAGAGAAAAGAGAATAATTCTCATCTTGTTGAAACTACTGTGTGACACTTTATAAAGCTGCCACCTGACAATATAATGTGATAATGATGCCAGTAACTCAAAGTTTGGCCCTTTATAATGTTTATTGTACTTCTAATTTTATCTTGATTAAACCATGGGACAGGCACAAATGACAGGGTTTTAGTTGATATACTGGTACACACTATAAGTTTTGTAATTGCAATTTGTTTTGTATTTCCTATTTACAATGTATTTGTATTAAATCATTTATCTTGGCACAAAGACTTTTGTATCTACATGTACATGTATACTGGCAATGTGCAGTAAACTATCCATGTAGGATTGTTAAGTACATGTACATGTATACATGCAGACTTCTTATACGTTCAGGTATTTCACATCCAATTTTTTATGGAAATATTCTTTATAAAGCACAAAAATTTCAGTATTCACCTCTGAAGCTAACAAAACCTTTAAATAGACTTATTAAGAAGGGATATAGTTACGATACTGTTGTCAGGTCATTAAAGATTGCATATTTTGGCGTTAATATTGATTCACTTATAGGGTCTTTGCATCGGCACTAAACACATTTATTTAAAAACCAGTTGTTGGCATGACACGGGTTATGTTCTTCTCATATATGTTATGATGGTATGATACTAAACCCCTAAAGGGAAGGATTGAACCTGATATTCATATGATGAAGACATAATCTTTCAATCAGTTTAATTGAAGTCTGGAGCTGGCATGTCAGTTAACTGCTAGTAGTCTGTTGTTATTTATGTATTATTGTCATTTTGTTTATTTTCTTTGGTTACATCTTCTGACATCAGACTTGGACTTCTCTTGAACTGAATTTTAATGTGCGTATTGTTATGCGTTTACTTTTCTACATTGGCTAGAGGTATAGGGGGAGGGTTGAGATCTCATAAACATGTTTAACCCCGCTGCATTTTTGCGCCTGTCCCAAGTCAGGAGCCTCTAGCCTTTGTCAGTCTTGTATTATTTTTACTTTTAGTTTCTTGTGTACAATTTGGAGTTTAGTATGGCGTTCATTATCACTGAACTAGTATATATATTTGTTTAGGGGCCAGCTGAAGGACGCCTCCGGGTGCGGGAATTTCTCGCTGCATTGAAGACCTGTTGGTGACCTTCTGCTGTTGTCTGTTCTATGGTCGGGTTGTTGTCTCTTTGACACATTACCCATTTCCATTCTCAATTTTATGGTATAGGGACATGGATAGTATAGCCCTGAAATGGGTTTATTCGTCCATATTGTACCAGCAGTGTCTCCGTGTTAATATTTTTTTAGCCTTCATAACACTACAAACCAGTAAAAGTCTGAAATGGCCTATATCTGTACTCGACTGTACTGATTTTTACTCGACCAGTCTGAATTGGTCTGAAATTTACTTGATAATACTCGACTGTAGTCTGAACCATACTTAACAGTCTGAACTTGTACTCGACCCTTACTCGACCAGTACTTAACCATTTTATACGCGTCTGAACCATGCTCGACCAGTCTGAACCATACTCGACCTAGTCTGAACCATACTCGACCTAGTCTGAACCATACTCGACCAAGTCTTAACCAACCTAGACCTATTTTTTGTATCTATCTATTGTATTTCATCAATTTAGGAACTGTTTATTACAACAGCTATTTCCCCTGGCTAGAAATTTGAACAATAATTTGAAATTAAAAATGTATTCAATATAGCATTGAAACCAAAATTTCACAATAAACATAATATAACTTCATCACCATATTCATCAACACTAATCTTATATAAATACATATATATCACCTTTAAAATAAAAATAAAACAAGCTGATCAAATAATCTCAAAACTGAATTGTGACTAATATTTTCAATGTTATTCAAAATTTTTTGAATGTTTCAGATATATTTTATGGTTACTGGACACTTTTCACCATTAACTTAAGCCTCGTATAGATTTATGGTGTCACTTGAGTTTAGTTAATAATGCAGTGAACATTTTTTTTTATTAAAATATATATAAAATAGCATATAAAGCAACTTAATAAATTTAAAAAATGACACCTTTATTTTGTTAAACCAAGAATTTAATATAATCATGATAATAGAACTTCCATGGTAGTCCTGTAATAAACTTTTAAAAAAGGAAATGTGTTCCAAAGTTACAGTAAATTTATTTCAATTAAATTTAAATAATTTTTGTCAAAATGAAAGACATGGCATACAAGAAGCACTTTAATAAGGTTTAATTACCTCAGTACATGTGTGTTTTACAGGTAAAAAGAAAGCCCTATTTTTCTTAAACTCGTGTATTACTTATCTTGTGAATTCAAAAGGCCTTGCGATTTAAGTTTCACAGGATGTTGCAATTTTGAATGAATGTTATTTAGAATTTAATACTCTCTGACCAGGTGATCTTTTTCATGAGTTTGCCCCAAGCAGGAGGTATTACTTTATACACGTACTTCACCACTAATCAGAAGAACAATTTTATTAATTTCTTTAATTTTTATCCCTTTTTGATTTTTATTGTATATAATATATCCCAAATTATAATAATAGATATATTTCTAAAATAAGGTTGAACAATTTCAGTGATTTTGTTGGCTGTTGTTACCTCATTAAAAAGATAATTATATAACTATTGTACATTTTTTGTATGTAACCATGAAACCTATGTAGTTTTTATTTAGGAATTTAGGAAAATTAATTTAAAAAAAAAACACATGCAAAACAAGAAGCACCTTAATAAGGTTTAATTACTCTCAGTATAGGTGTGGTTTTTAGGTAAAGGAAAATCTTTTTTTTAACAAAACTCTAAAACTTTAAAATTAATTTAATTAAATTATTAAAGATAATTTGATTTAACTATCTCTATTCGATAAATCTGAGAATCATGTAAGAATGTAAAAATCTGTTTTTATAATATATCTTTATTTTATTGTGGCTGTTGTCATGTCAGTTAAAAAGAAATTTATTTTAACAGTTAAAATTTAGAAAAAGTAGAGGTTATTTGGTCAAGTATGGTTCAGACTGGTCGAGTATTGTTCAGACCTTTGGTTGAGTATGGTTTAGACTGAAAAAATAGGTCGAGTACAGGTCGAGAATGGGTTAAGACTGTTTCAGACTGGTCGAGTAATAGTTCAGACTATTTTCAATGGCAAAGATAAGGGTCAAGTACAAATCAGTACAGTCGAGTATGGTTAAGACTGGGGTCGAGTAGTGTCGAGTAAAATTCAGACCAATTCAGACTGGTTGAGTAAAAATCAGTACAGTTGAGTACAGATATAGGCCATTTCAGACTTTTACTGGTTTGTAGTGTAATACTCAAACATTTTCTTTTCTAATATTGGCAAGTTTTATGAGAGATTGTTTGTTGCTAAATGCTTATGTTTAGTTATATATTTGTTGTTAAATGCTTATGTCTAGTTATAAATTTGTTGTTAAATGCTTATGTTTAGTTATATATTTGTTGCTAAGTGCTATATATTTGTTGTTAAATGCTTATGTTTAGTTATATATTTGTTGCTAAATGCTTATGTTTAGTTATATGATATCTTGAAAAAGTCCTGATTTACTGATTATGATGTAAAGTAGTTGTTGCAAGGGATACATTTGTCACACATTTAAATTGCATTATAATGCTGACCAATCATTATTTAGATGTATTTTATTCTTCAGCCTTCTAGTAGTAGTCAAGCTGCTCAGTTGCTAGTGACAACAGGAACTGCACCAACAGGTTTTATAGGGTTTTCTGGTAGTCCAGGATATGTGCCAGCCAGTCAGGTCTTTGATGATATTGATAACACTTTAGATGCTGATTTCAGATTGGTTCTGAGGAAGTTGACGAAGAAAGATAGTACGACTAAAGTTAAGGTATAATTATAGCAAGTCATTCTCATCAGGGATTATATAAATAAGAAGATGTGGTATGATTGCCAATGTGACAACTCTCCACCAAAAACCAAATGACGTAGAAGTTATAAACTATAGGTCACCGTTTGGCCTTCAACAATGAGCAAAACCCATACCGCATAGTAAGTTATAAAGGGCCCCAAAATGACAAATGTAAAACAATTCAAACGAGAAAACTAATGGCCTGATTTATGTGCAAAACAATAAACAAATATTATATACAGCACCAAACAAACGACAACCACTGAATTATAGGCTCCTGACTTAGCTTATAATTGTTTAGGGTAATTTTAAACAAGGATGAAGGTATAATTGTATCAGAACATCTTTTACATGGATCAATGCCTTATTATTGACTATGAGCACGATGAGTGAGAAGGACAAGAGACCTTCTTTAATGGATTATACAGGCAGAGATTTGGAATTCTGATTTGGCTAAAAAAAAATTACAGAACATGTTATCATGGATTTCTAGATAAGCTTTTGCTTACAAAAATAGTATGCATTTTTTAAAATTAGAAATAATGGAAAGAACATAATCAAGTAGTGATTCTGTAGATAGAATTACAGTAGATGTCAGAAAAAGGTATTTATAAATGATAATAATATTGCAATATATATATATATATATATATATGTTTTGTATTTACAGGCATTACAGGAGTTCAGTGTACTATGTGAAGAGAAAGACATTGAACATCTAAAGGCTGTATTACCATTCTGGCCAAGGATCTATAATAAAGTCGCTCTTGTAAGTTTGTATGTTGTTAACCAACTTATATTCATGATCATGAGCGATTTATTTTTAGCGATTAGAGAAAAAAAAAATTATCACAAATATGTCAGACTTGCATCTTCTCTTATATGAACCCACTAAATCCTAAATGATAAATACAGTTAAATAGGCTGAAAATGACACAAACAAAAGTAGTAGGGAAAAAAAGTTGGATTACAATATTTGTAATACTATTCCGGCCATGGATCTATGATAAAATATCTCTTGTTAGTTGGACTTTAAAGTCTTACCATTCTGGCCATGGATATACAATAAAGTAGCTCTGGTACATGTAAGTTTTAATTTAAGTGTTTTAAAAGATCAAGTGATTTGTGCATTGATTTATAGAAAATACTATATAAACAGTGTTCTCCCCAGGATTTTTTTAAGGCGCAAAATTCAAGGGCGCGTAACTCTTTTTTTAGAGTGATCTGAAGCAATAAGTCATAAATCATGACATGCAATATGAATTATAATGCTTTGTGTTATGTGTTTAATAATGCAGAGTATTAATGAATTACAAGAATATATATATGAAATAAATTGATTTTAAACAAAAAAGTTATTTATATTCAGTCAATTAAAGAAGTCAAAATATAAATATTCATCTGTTCTCTCTGCTCCTTCTAGGGATATTGTTTCAAGATAGTGTTATTTTGTTGGACAGTCTGTTCCTCAACTTTGTCTTTATCCTCTTCAGGGTTAATAATTAAACCCCCACTCACAATAACTTTTGCTTATACCCCCTTTAACATTTCTAAGTCATGAAAACTCAGTCAGCCACTTGTCATTGAAACCAGAAACATGGTGCTTGCTTTTATCAATTGCTAAAATTTGAGCTTGGTTGGGATTAGGAGAAGCAATGAAATCTGATTATACTGACAGTGTAGACGGAGGTGTATTCCCCTTTTCATTTGTAGTCATTGGTCTGAAAAAAACTTCTACTTCCATCATCTACCTTTTGCTTATAATTCACCCCTTTGTTATTGGCAGAGAACATGTTCATTCAGAATTAATAAAATCGAATATGGTTAAGATATTTGGTATACATCTTTTTGAAACAATTTTTTTTTTTAAATGAACAGCTGACCAGTTTCCGTAGTTTCACATTACGCTTCCGTGCGTATTATTGTTTAATCCTATCTTTGGCAGATAGATATAAACGAAACTTTACAAATTCGTGAAAGTTAAAACCATTGAAATTATTTACCAGTGACATTATACAGAAGCAGCGGCGATTCTGTACCCGTGTTTATTGTCACATATTTCCTGAGACTACTATAACACATATATACATGTAGTAGTCTCAGCATATTTCCCGACGCACGGATTCACGATCGATGTTCAATGATCGTTTTATTTCTAAAAATATGACAGTTTCAGACGAATTTACCTTGCAAGCAACATTTTTTCACTTTCTTTTAAAGTAAATCACTCCTCGTTATCTTTAATCAAACTTTATTTTAATTTTTTTCAACTACTAATACTTTCATTCATAGTTTTCATCGTAAATATCTTTAGCAATGTGTATTCAAATTTATCATGTGTATTGAACACGTTCATTGGTCGTGTTTAAATAGATTCTTCTTCTCGACCAATGAAAAAATTCGTTATATAAATGGTCAAGTGATCACACACACGATGCGTAAATACAATGTATTTGCGATATATTTCTTCAATTTCTGCACTGAAGTTTTTAAAATTTTAATTTTCTTCAAAATATCTATCTTCTTGATGATCATTTACGCTATTACCTGATAACATAGTCCGATAAGGCTGAGATAAGCGTGGCTCAGGTAAAACTAATTATCAGTTATATTGCGTAACACTGACCGACCCTTCAGCGGTGATCAGTAACTTGACAATTTTAACCAACATTTATAATGAAAATGTGAAAATTAACACGCTGCGGGATCAAGTATTAAGGGACAGCGGCCAATTAAGACGCTGCGGGATCTACAAAAATATTATGAAGGCGCTGCGGCACCGCAGCGTCATATCGGCCTGGGGAGAACACTGATAAAGAAATGAAATAAAAAGTATATATAAAAATCAGAAGATGTGGTATGATTGCCAATGAGACAACCCTCCACCAGAGACCAAATGACGTATATGTCACGGTACAGCCTTCAACAATGAGCAAAACCAATACAACAAAGCAAGCTATAAAAGGCTTGGAAATGACAAATGTAAAACAATTCAAACAATAACACTAAAAATTTATGTACAAAACAAGAAACAAAAAACAAATATGATATACAGCAACAAACGACAATCACTGAACTATATGGAAAAGTTAGTTTTTGTAAGTACAACATTACACCACCATTATCTTTTATAATTTAAATAATTTTTACAAGATCAATGTATCATAAACTCAAGAATATCCAGCAATCAATGAACACTTTAAACCAGCTGTTATATTAAATCTTATAGGATGTAGACCATAAAGTCAGAGAATGTACCCAGCAGTCTATGAACACTTTAGTGCTGAGAGTAAGGAAGAATCTAGCCCCTTATCTAAAGAGTTTGATGGGAAGTTGGTTACTTTGTCAGTGTGATACCTATCCCACTGTGTCAACAGCAGCACAACAAGCATTTCAAACAGCTTTCCCTCCAGCCAAACAGACTGATGCCCTTGTCTTTTGTAAATCTGTAGTCACAGAGGTAAGCACAACAAGCCTTTCAGACAGCTTTCCCTCCAGCCATACAGACAAATGTCCTTGTCTTTTGTAAATCTGTAGTCACAGAGGTAAGCACAATAAGCCTTTCAGACAGCATTCCCTCCAGCCAAACAGACAGATGCCCTTGTCTTCTGTAAATCTGTAGTCACAGAGGCAAGCACAACAAGCATTTCAGACAGCTTTCCCTCCAGCCAAACAGACTGATGCCCTTGTCTTTTGTAAATCTGTAGTCACAGAGGTAAGCACAACAAACCTTTCAGACAGCTTTTCATCCAGCCATACAGACAAATGCCCTTGTCTTCAGTAAATCTGTAGTCATAGAGGTAAGTACAACAAACTTTTCAGACAGCTTTCTCTCCAGCCAAACAGACAAATGCCCTTGTCTTCTGTAAATCTGTAGCCACAGAGGTAAACACAACAAGCCTTCCAGACAGCTTTCCCTCCAGCCAAACAGACAAATGCCCTTGTCTTCTGTAAATCTGTAGTCATAGAGGTAAGCACAACTAGCCTTCCAGACAGCTTTCCCTCCAGCCATACAGACAAATGCCCTTGTCCTCTATAAATCTGTAGTCACAGAGGTAATAACTACAACATACTTCCTAGATAACATTCACTCCAGCCATACAGACAGATGCCTTTGTCTTCTGTAAATCTGTATTCACAGAGGTAAGCACAACAAGCATTTCAGACAGCTTTCCCTCCAGCCAAACAGACAGATGCCCTTGTCTTTTGTAAATCTGTAGTGACAGAGGTAAGCACAACAAACTTTTCAGACAGCTTTCCCTCCAGCCAAACAGACAGATGCCTTTGTCTTCTGTAAATCTGTAGCCACAGAGGTAAACACAACAAGCCTTTCAGACAGCTTTCCCTCCAGCCATACCGACAAATGCCCTTGTCTTCTGTAAATCTGTAGTCACAGAGGTAAGCACAACAAACTTTTCAGTCAGCATTCCCTCCAGCCATACAGACAAATGCCCTTGTCTTTTGTAAATCTGTAGTCACAGAGGTAAGCACAACAAACTTTTCAGACAGCTTTCCCTCCAGCCATACAGACAAATGTCCTTGTCTTCTGTAAATCTGTAGTCACAGAGGTAAGCACAACAAACTTTTCAGACAGCTTTCCCTCCAGCCAAACAGACAGATGCCCTTGTCTTCAGTAAATCTGTAGTCATAGAGGTAAGCACAACTAGCCTTCCAGACAGCTTTCCCTCCAGCCAAACAGACAAATGCCCTTGTCTTCTGTAAATCTGTAGTCATAGAGGTAAGCACAACTAGCCTTCCAGACAGCTTTCCCTCCAGCCATACAGACAAATGCCCTTGTCCTCTATAAATCTGTAGTCACAGAGGTAATAACTACAACATACTTCCTAGATAACATTCACTCCAGCCATACAGACAGATGCCTTTGTCTTCTGTAAATCTGTATTCACAGAGGTAAGCACAATAAGCCTTTCAGACAGCATTCCCTCCAGCCATACAGACAAATGCCCTTGTCTTTTGTAAATCTGTTGTGACAGAGGTAAGCACAACAAGCCTTTCAGACAGTTTTCCCTCCAGCCATACAGACAAATGCCCTTGTCTTTTGTAAATCTGTAGTGACAGAGGTAAGCACAACAAACTTTTCAGACAGCTTTCCCTCCAGCCAAACAGACAGATGCCTTTGTCTTCTGTAAATCTGTAGTCACAGAGGTAAGCACAACAAGCCTTTCAGACAGCTTTCCCTCCAGCCATACCGACAAATGTCCTTGTCTTCTGTAAATCTGTAGTCACAGAGGTAAGCACAACAAACCTTTCAGACAGCTTTCCCTCCAGCCAAACAGACAGATGCCCTTGTCTTCTATAAATCTGTAGTCACAGAGGTAATTATTACAATATACTTCCTAGATAACATTCACTCTAGCCAAATAAACAGATATTGTTCTGTAAAATACGTTTACTGAGACAACCTCAAAACTTTTTTTTCTATGTACTTTTGTTTCAGGTATTTAACTACAGAACATCACTTATTGAATAGTTCAATATAGTTTATATTAGTCTTGTAAGATTATACATTAAACTTTCATATAATGACCATATTTTTGTTTTTTAGTATTTGGTGGATAACCTCCTAAATCAGACACCTAATACATTAAGTGATTCTACGTAAGTACTTTTATTAACCACCTTGTATTTTTTTTTATCAAAACGAGTTTTGTTTTTTTCAAAACAAAACTTAAGACTTAACTTTTCTACACACAGAGAAGCTTGTCTACACACATTTCCTACAGTGTGTATTGAATTTATGAAAAACTTACAAATTTCTTTATTGCATCATTTGCATAAAAAAAATTTTCAAGATTAGATTATTTATTATATCTGCTATTTTTTGTGCATAGGATATCAGGAAATTGGAGAGGCATATAATTTCAATAATTAGTGAATACATTTAATTTCAGTACAACTGAACAAGATGATATGGTCAATAAATACAACAGAGTGTTAACATCTTCCCTATTGGCTCTTAGAAAGTTGATTACTGCTATACCCGCTAATCAGATTGAAGATCTCAAACACCATATGCAAAATTTACTGAAAGATGGAAAATTCTGGAAACATGGAAAATCAACAATTACTTCAGTAAGTGAAAGTAATTCTATAATGAACCTTGATCAGAGGTCTCAATCTGTCTTTTGATTACTATTTTGGAAAGGGTTTATGACACACACAAAGATTAACTTGTTTACAAAATAATTCTTTTACAATATCATGATGTGAAAGCAGACAAGTTCAAAAGCAAACTGAAGGTTTCATAATCTGCTTCTTGCTCTGTTTAGGGTCAAGGTAAAGGTTGTATGGATACAAAGTCATATAAGGTGGACTTGCTGCCTACCTCAGATGTCTGTATTCAATAAAGATGGGTCCAAAAGACAAAACAATTTTTAAAAGAATTATGCTCTTTTAACAAAATAGAAATAAAATATATTGAGCCAAATATTTTTTCTTACCAGTTGATATTACAGTCAAGTCACATCAATACCAGTGACAAGAATGAAGATGTTCACGTAATAGCACCGAGAAAGATAAACATTACCTTACTAGTGATAGGTTTATTTAATTTTTTGTTAATATGTTTTTACTTTATCTTAATTTTATTTTTGTCTTTTATTTGTTTTCTTGTTAAAGCTATAATTAATGTTTCAATGTTTTCTAGATTAAAGCTGCCATGTATACTTTCCTAGCAGGACTTTGTCAGACAATGCCAGATGTTGCACAGGAATTCTCCAAAAAGCTTTCCCCATTCATACTTAACAACATAGATGAAAGAGATCCAGTGATATGCCCTGCTGTATGGGAGGCTGTTCTCTCTCTGGTCAACTTTGTTAAGGTACATTTTAAAAGGGATTAAAAACTAATCATGGGCCCTTTAATCACTGATACATAATCATATTGTAAATAAAAAAAACTTGTAACATCACTGATATTCAGGAAATATTGAGGTAATATATCAAAGTCAATGTATTCCTTTAATTTGTTTTTGTTTAAAAAATAATGTTCTGAGTATAAAATTCAGTTTTTTTGTTTCATGATTTTACATAGATTTTTTACATAAATAAGACTATGGTCACATTTAGAAAATTTTGCATGCATTAATTTTTTTATTGTTGTTAGTAATTTAGAATAGTTAATATGGGATATAAGAAAAAAACTGGACCAAAATATTATTAAATCCGTTTACATAGCTTCTAGCTAATGTAAAGCTTTTCCTATCTATTTCTACATCAACATTATTTGAAAAAAGCCTCATAAATAACAAGTTTTCAATGATATCACAACTGCCTCAGTGGTTTTACTGTATGATACTTACCACTTGATTGATAGAGGCTGTGGATCCAAACCTTGATGGACTCAAATCAAAAACTATAAAATATTCACATGCTGTTTCATTAGTGTAAAATTCAGATATATCTTGATAGGATGAAAAAACGTCCTGCAGACAATTACGTCATCAGCTAACACTTTAAATTCAGACAAAGTCTGTTTGACTAGTAACATCCAAGGCTAACTCAAATGACATTAAGATGTTATATTCATGAATAGGTGAGTATGGTATGCAGTTTGATTTAAGCATCCATCTATCAGCAAAAGGTATCAGTACAAAACAACAAAATATATATTTTTATAAAAAATAGTTCTCTAATTAGGATGATAGGTTACAACAAGATATATATTATTATAAAAAATAGTTCTCTAATTAGGACGATAGGTTACAACAAGATATATATTATTATAAAAAATAGTTCTCTAATTAGGACGATAGGTGACAACAAAATATATATTATTATACAAAATAGTTCTCTTATTAGGACGATAGGTGACAACAAAATATATATTATTATACAAAATAGTTCTCTAATTAGGGCGATAGGTTACAACAAAATATATATTATTATAAAAAAATAGTTCTCTAATTAGGATGATAGGTTACAACAAAATAGTTCTCTAATTAGGATGATAGGTTACAACAAAATATATATTATTATAAAAAAATAGTTCTCTAATTAGGATGATAGGTTACAACAAAATAGTTCTCTAATTAGGATGATAGCTATAGGTGACAACAAAATATATATTATTATAAAAAATAGTTCTCTAATTAGGATGATAGGTTACAACAAAATATATATTATTATAAAGAATAGTTCTCTAGTTAGGATGATAGGTGACAACAAAATATATATTATTATAAAAAAATAGTTCTCTAATTAGGATGATAGGTTACAACAAAATAGTTCTCTAATTAGGATGATAGGTTACAACAAAATAGTTCTCTAATTAGGGCGATAGGTGACTACAAAATATATATTATTATAAAGAATAGTTCTCTAATTAGGATGATAGCTATAGGTGACAACAAAATATATATTATTATAAAAAATAGTTCTCTAATTAGGATGATAGGTTACAACAAAATATATATTATTATAAATAATAGTTCTCTAGTTAGGATGATAGGTTACAACAAAATAGTTCTCTAATTAGGGCGATAGGTGACTACAAAATATATATTATTATAAATAATAGTTCTCTAATTAGGATGATAGCTATAGGTGACAACAAAATATATATTATTATAAATAATAGTTCTCTAGTTAGGATGATAGGTTACAACAAAATATATATTATTATAAAGAATAGTTCTCTAGTTAGGATGATAGCTATAGGTGACAACAAAATATATATTATTATAAAAAATAGTTCTCTAGTTAGGATGATAGGTTACAACAAAATATATATTATTATAAAAAATAGTTCTCTAATTAGGATGATAGGTTACAACAAAATATATATTATTATAAAAAATAGTTCTCTAGTTAGGATGATAGGTTACAACAAAATAGTTCTCTAATTAGGATGATAGCTATAGGTGACAACAAAATATATATTATTATAAAAAATAGTTCTCTAATTAGGATGATAGGTTACAACAAAATATATATTATTATAAAGAATAGTTCTCTAGTTAGGATGATAGCTATAGGTGACAACAAAATATATATTATTATAAAAAATAGTTCTCTAGTTAGGATGATAGGTTACAACAAAATATATATTATTATAAAAAATAGTTCTCTAATTAGGATGATAGGTTACAACAAAATATATATTATTATAAAAAATAGTTCTCTAATTAGGATGATAGGTTACAACAAAATAGTTCTCTAATTAGGATGATAGGTTACAACAAAATAGTTCTCTAATTAGGGTGATAGGTGACAACAAAATATATATTATTATAAAAAATAGTTCTCTAATTAGGATGATAGGTTACAACAAAATATATATTATTATAAAAAATAGTTCTCTAATTAGGATGATAGGTTACAACAAAATATATATTATTATAAAAAATAGTTCTCTAATTAGGATGATAGGTTACAACAAAATAGTTCTCTAATTAGGATGATAGCTATAGGTGACAACAAAATATATATTATTATAAAAAATAGTTCTCTAATTAGGATGATAGGTTACAACAAAATATATATTATTATAAAGAATAGTTCTCTAGTTAGGATGATAGCTATAGGTGACAACAAAATATATATTATTATAAAAAATAGTTCTCTAGTTAGGATGATAGGTTACAACAAAATATATATTATTATAAAAAATAGTTCTCTAATTAGGATGATAGGTTACAACAAAATATATATTATTATAAAAAATAGTTCTCTAATTAGGATGATAGGTTACAACAAAATATATATTATTATAAAAAATAGTTCTCTAATTAGGATGATAGGTGACAACAAAATATATATTATTATAAAAAATAGTTCTCTAATTAGGATGATAGGTGACAACAAAATATATATTATTATAAAAAAATAGTTCTCTAATTAGGATGATAGGTTACAACAAAATAGTTCTCTAATTAGGATGATAGGTTACAACAAAATAGTTCTCTAATTAGGGCGATAGGTGACTACAAAATATATATTATTATAAAGAATAGTTCTCTAATTAGGATGATAGCTATAGGTGACAACAAAATATATATTATTATAAAAAATAGTTCTCTAATTAGGATGATAGGTTACAACAAAATATATATTATTATAAATAATAGTTCTCTAATTAGGATGATAGCTATAGGTGACAACAAAATATATATTATTATAAAGAATAGTTCTCTAATTAGGGCGATAGGTTACAACAAAATATATATTATTATAAAGAATAGTTCTCTAGTTAGGATGATAGGTGACTACAAAATATATATTATTATAAAAAATAGTTCTCTAATTAGGATGATAGCTATAGGTGACAACAAAATATATATTATTATAAAAAATAGTTCTCTAATTAGGATGATAGGTTACAACAAAATAGTTCTCTAATTAGGGCGATAGGTTACAACAAGATATATATTATTATAAAAAATAGTTCTCTAATTAGGATGATAGGTTACAACAAAATAGTTATCTAATTAGGATGATAGGTTACAACAAAATAGTTCTCTAATTAGGATGATAGGTTACAACAAAATATATATATTATTATAAAGAATAGTTCTCTAGTTAGGATGATAGGTGACAACAAAATATATATTATTATAAAAAATAGTTCTCTAATTAGGACGATAGGTGACTACAAAATATATATTATTATAAAAAATAGTTCTCTAATTAGGGTGATAGGTGACAACAAAATATATATTATTATAAAAAAATAGTTCTCTAGTTAGGATGATAGGTGACAACAAAATATATATTATTATAAATAATAGTTCTCTAATTAGGATGATAGCTATAGGTGACAACAAAATATATATTATTATAAAAAATAGTTCTCTAATTAGGATGATAGCTATAGGTGACAACAAAATATATATTATTATACAAAATAGTTCTCTAATTAGGGTGATAGGTGACAACAAAATATATATTATTATAAAAAATAGTTCTCTAATTAGGACGATAGGTGACTACAAAATATATATTATTATAAATAATAGTTCTCTAATTAGGATGATAGGTTACAATAAAATATATATTATTATAAAAAAATAGTTCTCTAGTTAGGATGATAGGTTACAACAAAATAGTTCTCTAATTAGGGCGATAGGTTACAACAAAATATATATTATTATAAAAAATAGTTCTCTAATTAGGACGATAGGTGACAACAAAATATATATTATTATAAAAAATAGTTCTCTAATTAGGACGATAGGTGACTACAAAATATATATTATTATAAAAAATAGTTCTCTAATTAGGGTGATAGGTGACAACAAAATATATATTATTATAAAAAAATAGTTCTCTAGTTAGGATGATAGGTGACAACAAAATATATATTATTATAAATAATAGTTCTCTAATTAGGATGATAGCTATAGGTGACAACAAAATATATATTATTATAAAAAATAGTTCTTTAATTAAGATGATAGCTATAGGTGACAACAAAATATATATTATTATAAATAATAGTTCTCTAATTAGGATGATAGCTATAGGTGACAACAAAATATATATTATTATAAAAAATAGTTCTCTAATTAGGGTGATAGGTGACAACAAAATATATATTATTATAAAAAATAGTTCTCTAATTAGGACGATAGGTGACTACAAAATATATATTATTATAAATAATAGTTCTCTAATTAGGATGATAGGTTACAATAAAATATATATTATTATAAAAAAATAGTTCTCTAATTAGGATGATAGGTTACAACAAAATAGTTCTCTAATTAGGATGATAGGTTACAACAAAATATATATTATTATAAAAAATAGTTCTCTAATTAGGATGATAGCCATAGGTGACAACAAAATATATATTATTATACAAAATAGTTCTCTAATTAGGGTGATAGGTGACAACAAAATATATATTATTATAAATAATAGTTCTCTAATTAGGATGATAGGTTACAACAAGATATATATTATTATAAAAAATAGTTCTCTAATTAGGATGATAGCTATAGGTGACAACAAAATATATATTATTATACAAAATAGTTCTCTAATTAGGGTGATAGGTGACAACAAAATATATATTATTATAAAAAATAGTTCTCTAATTAGGATGATAGGTTACAACAAAATATATATTATTATAAAAAATAGTTCTCTAATTAGGATGATAGCTATAGGTGACAACAAAATATATATTATTATAAAAAATAGTTCTCTAATTAGGACGATAGGTGACTACAAAATATATATTATTATAAATAATAGTTCTCTAATTAGGATGATAGGTTACAATAAAATATATATTATTATAAAAAAATAGTTCTCTAATTAGGACGATAGGTTACAACAAGATATATATTATTATAAAAAATAGTTCTCTAATTAGGATGATAGGTTACAACAAAATAGTTCTCTAATTAGGATGATAGCTATAGGTGACAACAAAATATATATTATTATAAAAAATAGTTCTCTAGTTAGGATGATAGGTTACAACAAAATATATATTATTATAAAGAATAGTTCTCTAGTTAGGATGATAGGTTACAACAAAATAGTTCTCTAATTAGGATGATAGGTTACAACAAAATAGTTCTCTAATTAGGACGATAGGTTACAACAAGATATATATTATTATAAAAAATAGTTCTCTAATTAGGATGATAGGTTACAACAAAATAGTTCTCTAATTAGGATGATAGCTATAGGTGACAACAAAATATATATTATTATACAAAATAGTTCTCTAATTAGGATGATAGGTGACAACAAAATATATATTATTATAAATAATAGTTCTCTAATTAGGATGATAGGTTACAACAAAATATATATTATTATACAAAATAGTTCTCTAATTAGGGTGATAGGTGACAACAAAATATATATTATTATAAAAAATAGTTCTCTAATTAGGATGATAGCTATAGGTGACAACAAAATATATATTATTATACAAAATAGTTCTCTAATTAGGGTGATAGGTGACAACAAAATATATATTATTATAAAAAATAGTTCTCTAATTAGGATGATAGGTTACAACAAAATATATATTATTATAAAAAATAGTTCTCTAATTAGGATGATAGGTTACAACAAAATAGTTCTCTAATTAGGATGATAGCTATAGGTGACAACAAAATATATATTATTATAAAAAATAGTTCTCTAATTAGGACGATAGGTGACTACAAAATATATATTATTATAAATAATAGTTCTCTAATTAGGATGATAGGTTACAATAAAATATATATTATTATAAAAAAATAGTTCTCTAATTAGGACGATAGGTTACAACAAGATATATATTATTATAAAAAATAGTTCTCTAATTAGGATGATAGGTTACAACAAAATAGTTCTCTAATTAGGATGATAGCTATAGGTGACAACAAAATATATATTATTATAAAAAATAGTTCTCTAGTTAGGATGATAGGTTACAACAAAATATATATTATTATAAAGAATAGTTCTCTAGTTAGGATGATAGGTTACAACAAAATAGTTCTCTAATTAGGATGATAGCTATAGGTGACAACAAAATATATATTATTATAAAAAATAGTTCTCTAGTTAGGATGATAGGTTACAACAAAATATATATTATTATAAAGAATAGTTCTCTAGTTAGGATGATAGGTTACAACAAAATAGTTCTCTAATTAGGATGATAGGTTACAACAAAATAGTTCTCTAATTAGGACGATAGGTTACAACAAGATATATATTATTATAAAAAATAGTTCTCTAATTAGGATGATAGCTATAGGTGACAACAAAATATATATTATTATAAAATAATAGTTCTCTAATTAGGACGATAGGTGACTACAAAATATATATTATTATAAATAATAGTTCTCTAATTAGGATGATAGGTTACAATAAAATATATATTATTATAAAAAAATAGTTCTCTAATTAGGACGATAGGTTACAACAAGATATATATTATTATAAAAAATAGTTCTCTAATTAGGATGATAGCTATAGGTGACAACAAAATATATATTATTATAAAGAATAGTTCTCTAGTTAGGACGATAGGTGACTACAAAATATATATTATTATAAAAAATAGTTCTCTAATTAGGATGATAGCTATAGGTGACAACAAAATATATATTATTATAAAAAAATAGTTCTCTAATTAGGATGATAGGTTACAACAAAATAGTTCTCTAATTAGGATGATAGGTTACAACAAAATATATATTATTATAAATAATAGTTCTCTAATTAGGACGATAGGTGACAACAAAATATATATTATTATAAAAAATAGTTCTCTAATTAGGATGATAGCTATAGGTGACAACAAAATATATATTATTATAAAAAATAGTTCTCTAATTAGGACGATAGGTGACTACAAAATATATATTATTATAAATAATAGTTCTCTAATTAGGATGATAGGTTACAATAAAATATATATTATTATAAAAAAATAGTTCTCTAATTAGGATGATAGCTATAGGTGACAACAAAATATATATTATTATAAAAAATAGTTCTCTAATTAGGATGATAGGTTACAACAAAATAGTTCTCTAATTAGGATGATAGGTTACAACAAAATAGTTCTCTAATTAGGACGATAGGTGACTACAAAATATATATTATTATAAAGAATAGTTCTCTAGTTAGGATGATATGTTACAACAAAATATATATTATTATAAATAATAGTTCTCTAGTTAGGATGATATGTTACAACAAAATATATATTATTATAAAAAATAGTTCTCTAATTAGGATGATAGGTGACTACAAAATATATATTATTATAAAAAATAGTTCTCTAATTAGGATGATAGCTATAGGTGACAACAAAATATATATTATTATAAAAAATAGTTCTCTAATTAGGACGATAGGTGACAACAAAATATATATTATTATAAAAAAATAGTTCTCTAATTAGGATGATAGGTTACAACAAAATAGTTCTCTAATTAGGACGATAGGTGACTACAAAATATATATTATTATAAAGAATAGTTCTCTAGTTAGGATGATAGGTTACAACAAAATATATATTATTATAAAAAATAGTTCTCTAATTAGGACGATAGGTGACAACAAAATATATATTATTATAAAAAATAGTTCTCTAATTAGGATGATAGGTTACAACAAAATATATATTATTATAAAAAATAGTTCTCTAATTAGGATGATAGGTGACAACAAAATAGTTCTCTAGTTAGGATGATAGGTTACAACAAAATATATATTATTATAAAAAATAGTTCTCTAATTAGGATGATAGGTTACAACAAAATATATATTATTATAAAAAATAGTTCTCTAGTTAGGACGATAGGTGACAACAAAATATATATTATTATAAAAAATAGTTCTCTAATTAGGATGATAGGTTACAACAAAATATATATTATTATAAAAAATAGTTCTCTAGTTAGGACGATAGGTGACAACAAAATATATATTATTATAAAAAATAGTTCTCTAATTAGGATGATAGGTTACAACAAAATATATATTATTATAAAAAATAGTTCTCTAATTAGGATGATAGGTGACAACAAAATAGTTCTCTAGTTAGGATGATAGGTTACAACAAAATATATATTATTATAAATAATAGTTCTCTAGTTAGGATGATAGGTGACAACAAAATATATATTATTATAAAAAATAGTTCTCTAGTTAGGATGATAGGTTACAACAAAATATATATTATTATAAAAAATAGTTCTCTAATTAGGATGATAGGTGACAACAAAATAGTTCTCTAGTTAGGATGATAGGTGACAACAAAATATATATTATTATAAAAAATAGTTCTCTAATTAGGATGATAGGTGACAACAAAATATATATTATTATAAAAAAATAGTTCTCTAATTAGGATGATAGGTTACAACAAAATAGTTCTCTAATTAGGATGATAGGTTACAACAAAATAGTTCTCTAATTAGGATGATAGGTTACAACAAAATAGTTCTCTAATTAGGATGATAGGTGACAACAAAATATATATTACTATAAAAAATAGTTCTCTAATTAGGATGATAGGTGACAACAAAATATATATTACTATAAAGAATAATTCTCTAATTAGGACGATAGGTTACAACAAGATATATATTATTATAAAGAATAATTCTCTAATTAGGATGATAGGTTACAACAAGATATATATTATTATAAAGAATAATTCTCTAATTAGGATGATAGGTTACAACAAAATATATATTATTATAAAAAATAGTTCTCTAATTAGGACGATAGGTGACAACAAAATATATATTATTATAAAAAATAGTTCTCTAATTAGGATGATAGGTGACTACAAAATATATATTATTATAAAAAATAGTTCTCTAATTAGGATGATAGGTGACAACAAAATATATATTATTATAAAAAATAGTTTTCTAATTAGGATGATAGGTGACAACAAAATATATATTACTATAAAAAATAGTTCTCTAATTAGGATGATAGGTGACAACAAAATATATATTACTATAAAAAATAGTTCTCTAATTAGGACGATAGGTTACAACAAAATATATATTATTATACAAAATAGTTCTCTAATTAGGACGATAGGTTACAACAAGATATATATTATTATAAAGAATAATTCTCTAATTAGGATGATAGGTGACTGCAAAATATATATTATTATAAGAAATAGTTCTCTAATTAGGACGATAGGTTACAACAAGATATATATTATTATAAAGAATAATTCTCTAATTAGGATGATAGGTTACAACAAAATATAAATATTGTTTTACCTTTTTATATATTTTTTCATAGGAATGTTGGACAGATGTAAGCATAGAGAAATCATTATGGCCAAAATTAAGGAACTTATTAGAAAATGGTTGCTATGGAAACTGCTCCCTGATTGCACCAGATTTACTTCCCTTTATTAGTAAGGTGCCACCTGATTTACTGAAGGAAGAGAACAAGATCTATGTAGAATTCTTGAATCATATGAAGCTAGGGTGAGTTTTCAATAGAAATGAAACAATAAAAGGTTATGTGTAGGTTCATTATTTTTCATGTTATTCATGGTCAGTGTATTTTAGATGGTTTTACACAGAAAATGACATTCCTCATATAAAAATCTTACAAAGAAAAGTAATGTTTTTTTTATATTCAATTACTTAAAATGCAGTAGTAAGTCCAACGTGTCTATTTTGCTAGTCTGAGATAGCATTTTAAGTCGGTCTATGATTAAAAATTTGAAGATTTTGAGTTCTTTAAGCTTTTCAAAGTTATTTTCTTTGAAAGAGGTAGGGATAATTTTCCTGAATTTATATCACATTGAGACCATATTTAGTAGTCTTCTCATTTAAGGATGTGAGAGCATTATTTTCTTACTTCACAACATTCAACTGAATCATAAATACTTAAAAGATGGCTCTAAACTGCTATTGTCAAAAATGTTGGCAAATATTGAGTAAGTTTCCAATCAAATATAAAACAAAATGAAGTCCCATTATAGGGCTTAAACCTGTCATTCATTATATCTAAGACAAACTAATAGTGTAAAACCAGGACTATCCATTATACTTATCTTATTCCTCTTTCTTTCAATTCAAGCACTGAAAATCATCGAGCCATTCTAGTTTTCTTCAGAAAACAAGGGTTGGTAAATTAATACAGGATTTGATAAACCACATTCACATGTCTGTTTCAATAATAATTGTAGGGAAATGTTTGAATACATAAACAAACCTGATTTTATTTTTAGACTAAGTAAAGAACAAGTCCAGACTAACTCTAGTGAATGTAGTGCCTTTGTTAGAGCTTTTATAGAATGTAGTCAGTTTATGATGAAGGAAGTGACCAGTACTGGCAGTGATTTGACATTCTTAAAAATAATACTCCATGATCAGGTATGTTTAAAAAAAACAGGTACCACCATTTTCTGTTCAAATTAAAAATGAACTGTTTTTATTGTCGAGCCTGCGACTTTTGTCGCAGAAAGCTCGACATAGGGATAGTGATCCGGCGGCGGCGGCTACGGTGGCGGCGGCGGCGGCGTTAGCTAACTTCTTAAAAGCTTTATATTTTAGAAGCTAGAAGACCTGGATGCTTCATACTTTGTGTATAGATGCCTTATGTTACGAAGTTTCCGTCTGTCATATGTCCAATGTCCTTGACCTCATTTTCATGGTTCAGTGACTACTTGAAAAAAAAGTCAACATTTTTTGTAATGTTAATTTCTTTCTTATTATGAGTAATAGGATAACTATATTTAGTATGTGCGTACCTTGCAAGGTCCTCATGCCCGTCAGACAATTTTCATTTGACTTCGACCTCATTTCATGGATCAGTGAACCAGGTTAAGTTTTCGTGGTCAAGTCCATATATAAGATACTATAAGCAGTAGGTCTACTATATTTGGTATATGGAATGATTGTAAGGTGTACATGTCCAACTGGTAGGTGTCATCTGACCTTGACCTCATTTTCATGGTTCAGTGGTCAAAGTTAAGTTTTTGAGTTTTGGTCTTTTTTTCTAATACTATATGCAATAGGTCAGCTATAAATGGTGTATGGAATGATTGTAAGGTGTACATGTCTAGCTGGCAGGTGTCATCTGACCTTGACCTCATTTTCATGGTTCAGTGGTCAAAGTTAAGTTTTTGAGTTTTGGTCTTTTTTTCTAATACTATATGTAATAGTTCAACTATATTTGTTGTATGGAAATATTTTATGATCTATATGTCAGTCACGCAGTTTTTATTTGACCTTGACCTCATTTTCAAGGTTCATTGCTCAGTGTTAAGTTTTTTGTGTTTTGGTCTGTTTTTCTTATACTGTATGCAATAGGTCTACTATATTTGGTGTATGGAATGATTGTAAGGTGTACATGTCTAGCTGGCAGGTGTCATCTGACCTTGACCTCATTTTCATGGATCAGTGGTCAAAGTTAAGTTTTTGAGTTTTGGTCTTTTTTTCTAATACTATATGCAATAGTTCCAACTATATTTGGTGTATGGAAATATTTTATGATCTATATGTCAGTCAGGCAGGTTTTATTTGACCTTGACCTCATTTTCAAGGTTCATTACTCAGTGTTAAGTTTTTGTGTTTTGGTCTGTTTTTCTTAAACTATAAACAATAGGTCAACTATATTTGTTGTATGGAAGAATTGTTAGCTGTACATGCCTGCCTAGCATGGTTCATCTGACCTTGACCTCATTTTCATGGTTCATTGGTCAATGTTTAGTTTACTTGGTTAATGTTAAGTTTATGTGACAGTTGTAATAAAGCTTTATATTTAGGACTATCAACATAATATAAATGATTAGTAAAGAAGGCGAGACATTTCAGCGTGTGCACTCTTGTTATATATAAAATCATCTGAAGGTGAAGTAAATTGCATTAAAACAATCAAGCAATTCCCAACAAATGCAATACATGTTATCATACATTGTAAATATGGATAGACAATTTCTAGCAATTTTGTTACAAGCTTGAATTTGAAAAGTAAGTTATAACTTTTTCAGATAATACATTTTCCGAAGTGTTTTTCTTCTTTTTAAAATACATCAAAATATTGAATGACAATATAGATTCAATAACAGTTCAATTTACTTGAGCTAATAGTTAACTATTTTGGCTCTATTTTTCATAGAAAATCAGTACCAGATTATGATGATACAATATTTATTGGTGATGAAAATACTTTCAAAAAATTCTCTAAAGCAGCACAATTGTTAATTTGTTTATATTTATTTTAGCTATTACCAGTTGTAGTGTCTTCCATAATAGAGAAGGAATCAGAATTGTACAAATCGCCTTTGTATTGTATGATGGGAAATGCCCTGGAGAAACTTGAAAATGTGGCAACAGATGATGTCAGAAAAACTCTACTCTCCTATTGGTCAGAATTATCAGATAAAGTGAAAGAGAGACTAAGTGAGGAAGTTCAGGATGATAGTATGAGAGTGGTAGATCGGGTGATGCTTCTAGTGAAAAATTTGGTCTATCCACAACTTACTGAAAAAGTAAAACCCAGTGTTGATATGAACTTATTTGACCTTTCTCCAAAAAGTCAAGATAGGATAAAGCTAACAAAAGGCATGAGTACTTTTGTACAAAAATTATCTATACACGGTTTTCAGAATGCACACAAACAGTGGAACCCACCAAGTTTGCATCTTTTTGCAGCATTAATGGAAATAGAGCCAGCAGAAGATACAATAAAACTTGTGATAGAAAGTTGCCATGGTGACATAGAAACAGACAAAAGTCATTCAAATTATTTTGTGTTCAATGTTTGTTTACCATGGCTTGAGCATGCCCAGTCAGAAGAAAACGCAGCAGACCAAAAACAAATAATTAGTATCATCTGTACGTTTATTGCATTACTAGAAAACAGTTCACTGACTGTACTTCTCCAGACATTAACTGAGGTATGATTTATGTAGAGAATTGTAAGAGTTAGATTTATACATTTGTATACCTTTAGTTTGGAAGAGGAACATTACTGACATCAATCAGAGTTTTCCTTGGTTACCAGACCTGAGGTACCGGTAGAACAAATTGAATTTGGTTTGAAATTTATAAGTCTAATTTGAAATTAATGCATGATTAAGGCATATAAAGGTTGATTTATACACATAACATTGTCTAGGTTTTATTTTTCTTCTCAGTGTTACAAATACATGTACATGAACATTTTATGATTTGCTATTTATGAAAATTTTAACTTAAAAAAGTAAATACTTTTTAAAATTCTTTTATCAAGAAAAGTAAATTTTGATAACAATAACATATAAATTGTTGTTTCACGTGGAATATATGACATAGGAAATAATTTTCTGGTCCAGCAATTGTGATGTTTACAATGTACTTGTTACCTTAGTATTTTATTCTTACTTTCTCTAGGGTGACACACATATGTATCATTTTATATGACCATGACCCCATTTTCATGCTCCAATGTTCATATTGTTTATATGTATTGCATACATGAAAGTATGATGCTCATAGATTTCACATGACCTTAGTGTGAAAGTTCTTTGCCCTTTAAAACATTTTAATGTTGCATCAGGGGAGACATTTTGTTTTAAAAAAACTTACTGTTAAAATTTTGCAGAAATGCATATTGAAAGCATCTGCTTTGTAACACTTCTAATGAACCTTGCATACCTTTTTGTGACTATTTAAGTTAATAGGAAAACATGGGGTAGATTTTCAAGAGATAAGGTATATTAGGAAGTAACCATGCATAACTTTTTATTCATAACCAATGTATGTCAAAAGAAAAGCACTTTGGTTGATGTAGGATCAAAATAGAACTAGACATACCATCTACCCTTTTTTATGTAGGAATGTTATGACGGAAAAAGCCCATGATAATGCTGATATTGGCTTTACCTTGTTAATATTTTTTTCAGACTGTTCAGAATTTTGAAGCTTTCTACCATCTTCTAACCAAATGTATCAAACTACAGTCGGAGTTTAGTAGTATTAAAACTTGGTTAAATAGTGACATACTGGGAAACAAATTGGTTGACATAGCAACAGTCGTCTGTAAAGAGAGCACCAAACCTGTAGTTGATAATCAATCTAGTATACAGTTTGGATGGGATGTAATATCTTTGGTTCTCACTGCAGATCAGAACTCAGGTATGATTAATTGCTTTGATTTACGATGTTTCTTTGTATTCTGTAGCTAAGAAAAGAGAAATCGCAAGAGGGTCACAGTACCAAATTTTAAGAAGATTGAATGCAAAGACATACACACACCACTGAAAAATAATAAACAGCACACACATTCACACATCTTTTATTAACTCTTACATTTTTCTTTCACATGTAACATGTGTTACCAGAATATGAATATAAACAAAGAGTTAAAACTCTCATCTTCAACCAAAACTTTATTGATCTTGATAAGAGATTGTGTTACTGCATCAAATTTTGATATGTTTCAAACAATGGTTAAATTTGTTCAAATTGTTACTGAAAATTAACTCAGAAGAAATGCTTGATTATTTTTATCCTACTTCAGCCTAAGCATTTTCAACAGATATTTTCATTTTCTCTCTCCAAATAACCTTTGTAAGAATCTTAATAGAACTGGCCACTTGTGAGATGACAGGTAGTTTGATAACTGTTATGAAATATACATGTTAGAATCTTATTTCAGATCAAGTGATCAGAGAAGACCATATCAAACAGATATTACATATTGTACACCAAACATTGTTGTCATTGGGTGACAACTCTGACCCTAACAACACAGATATAGCTGTTAAGTTTGTTTCCAAGGCAACACAGAGTTTCTTCATCAGTTCTAAGAACTGTCTATTGTTGCCATCAGCTGAAGATTTGTTGATCACTCTGTTCACGATATCATTGGATGATACATACAAGGTTTCAGGTGAGTTATGGTTGTATGTTTATTTGGTACAGATGGGGCAATATGCGTAATTGATTTTACATAGGCGGTAATGGTAACGTTTTCCTCTAGCACAGTCCATATCGTAAACTTGGATATGCATGATGGCTCATTTCGAAGCTGAGACATTTTCACATATGTGGTTAAATTTTCAGGGTACGAAGTGTGATTCATTTTTCCGTAAATTAGCACACCCCGAAAATCCTTTCGTGATGCGGCTCCTGGTGGTAAAAAATCCCTTTTTTCACACAATAAGTTCTTTGAAAATTTAATACTTTGCATACATATAATAACTGCATAGTTTTTACACATTTATTCTATGGTCCTCTACTTTTAAAATCAACACAAATGGTTAAGCTCAGTCAATTGTTAAAAATAGAAACATGTCCAATATCACTACACAGAGATTTTTTGTTTATGCACAACTTTTGTGTTCCTCAATTTGAGGCGCATTAGGGATATTGACCCAGATCATATAAGTTACTGCAGAAATTTGAGGACAAGTTTCAATGAAACATTACAATTCAACAATGTTATTGACTGTGAAAATTATAAGAATTCTGTAAATTTTGAGATTGTAAAAATGTATTCAGGCAAAATATTTTCACTATTTACATAAATATAAATACATATATTGATCATCATCTTTTTTTACAGAGATTGCATCATTTCTTGTTAGATTTTCAGTCATGAATTTCACAGACTTGTTATCACTAGAGCTTGTTTAGGTGAATTCTAGAAGGCTTATGTAAATCATAAAATCTAAACTGTCTTTAATCAAATAAATTTACTATCAGTAGCACACAAACTATATACAGTGTATTACCTTCTTTTCCCATAAACATTACACATACATGTAGGCTAGGTGTAGAGAATGTACGTACAATATTTACAATAACAAAACAATGAATATACTAAATGTATGATCTGTCCTTTTCGGACTTAAGATTTTAATTATCCCATCACTTTTTTTAACTGAACTTACATAATGTCATGAAAAGGAAATATTTAACAGAAAATGGAATATTTTCTGAAATATTTTCAAAAAGGTGAGACCAAGATCTTCTATTGCATACAACTTTTTACTTTAAAGACAATAATATAACAAACAAAACATAAAACTAGTGACATTTCACATCTTCAAGGTCATACATCCATGGTCAAGGTTATGGCTTGAAGCCATATTTGTACAATTCAGTCACTAATATTAAGACTATTTTCTAATTTGTTATAGATGAGACTTTGTCAGAATCAGAACTTGTATGGACCACTGGAATAGGGTCTATTGTTAGACAGACTGGTGGCTTGATTAAAGATGGTGGACTACTACAGAAGGCTGTTAATGTTGTTAAAGACACAGTGATCAGTGTACAACAGATACAAATGTATGTTGTATTTCAAATTACTTTTTATACTAAACTACAAAAAGAAAGGGAAGGATAAATGTATAAGAGATCAATACTATGAATTTGAAGCCAAAAGTTAATTGTGTTTACAATGTTTTATGATTTTACCAGTTCCATGTAATAACACAAGTACGACAGTCCATACACCTTATCGCTATTTAGTCCAATCCGGAAAAAACATTCATTTAGACAACTTCCTGTTTGGGTCAACAGGCAAAAAACAAAGGTCATCAGTAACGAGCTGAGGGAGGGAAAAATTTAGAAAGCGATTAATAGGAAACTTTGATAGATTATGATACATTTTTTCGAAACTCAAGTTATAGTAAAAAAAATATTTTGTTTGAAGTAATTACGATGTTTTAAACAGGCCTCATTAAAAAGTATCATGCATGGTGCATTGTTTAAACAGGGTCCCAGATAGCTTCAACTGGATGAAAAAGTTGTGTAATTTTAGAACTTATCCGGAATGGAATAAATAGCGATTAGGTGTATTACAGTCAACTCAATAGTACTCATTTGTTATAAAAATGACTGTGATGAGATATTTTCAATTGCAGCATTAAGATAGATTGATTGATTGTTGTTTGTTTAGCATTTAGCTGTATATTTTTCATGCATATTCAGGATGACATGATAATAAATAAAATCCTTAACAATCTGTATTCAGTATCCTACATGGGGGGGGGGGGGGTACCAGTGGGTATAGGGAAACAACAATTCAATGTTCAAAAAAGTAAATATTTACTCTAGGCTTGTATGCAGACATAGTAAATATTTACTCAGGCTTGTATGCAGACATAGTAAAATCCAGGAAGTTATATTTCTTCAATCCATGAAAATTGATACCTGTGAAAAATTAAATAATCTACAGTATGTGATTTTACAAGTAATTTATCTTTAGGTTATTGGCTGTTCTTACAACCCCAATACATAATTCCTGCAACATCATAAATTAATAAATTACATAAGAAACTATTTGATAGTTAGTTGCAATTTTTCAGATTTGATAGAATAATTAAAACAGTGGATAAATTGTTGACAGTTGTCAAGGAAAGCCTACCTGGAGATAGGGGAGACAATCCTATTGTGTCAAATCTTGTACAGAATTTATACACACAAGAAATGGTTGCTCCTAGAAAGGTAATCAATTAGAACACAATTTTAAGAGGTTGACACTGTTCAATTTCAAATAATCAGCTGTAATGCCTCTGGATTACATTGGATTGTTTGCTTGATAAGTCCAAATGATTTACAACAAAAACTATTAAACTTCTTCAGTTACCAGGATGTATTGATAAATACAGATTACTGAGGATTCATTATCATTCGTTGGATACCGATTTTCGTGGGTTTCTTGGGGACAGGTGAACAACAAATTCAAATGTTCAACAAATTACAAATTTTCTATTGGTTTTTTATGCACAGATTGGCATAACCATGAAATCAAATATCCTAGAAAATGCTGTTTTTCCTCAATCCATGAACATTGATATCCATAAAAATAAATGAATCGACAGCAATACACTTATTACGTGGCCTATTACACATCAGCCCAATTATCATCCTGAGATTCCCATACTTGCTTGGAGTGTATTATGGGTAGAAAACCTGGCTTATATATTAATTTGTTTGTTATATACTTCTGATGTAAGAATACTCCAGGCTGATAACCTTATATTAGCCTGACCATGTGTCATATACTGAGCTGATGTGGGTCACCAAACCTGCTACTTTCCAACAGCACTTGAAATAATTTATTTTATCCTTTTTTTTTTTTCATAAATGTCATTTATCTTCAGTTTTATTATCATAGTCTTTAAAAAATAGATAATTATGTCCACTTCAAGTAGAATTTAAAAGAAAAAATGTGATAATATTAATATAATAATTATTTTCAGGTTTTAGATTATCTTATAACCAAAGGAGATTTGTCTTACCTGAGTATGAACCAAACATTAGGGTCAGATGCCAGCTTTTCACAGATTCTGTACTCAGCTTTGTATAATGCCAGACTTTTATGTTGGTCAGTAGTTAAAGCAGATGAACAGGAAACTAGATCAGTAGAACTGGATCCCAAGCAGATTACACTGTTACTGTCAGTGTTACATAGTATGAATATTGTAAACCAGTGGAAAGATATAAATAATATTGTAAGTAAGGAATTAGACTATGCCAGTTTAACAAATTCTTTAGTTGAGATTGTTAATGTGTTTTATACTGACATTAATGATATAGAGGCCCTTTCAACTTTTCAAACTTTTAACTGTTACTTTTTTATTTCAATTAATTTTTTCAGAAATGATTATTGAAAAATCATTTTTTTTCCCTAAAGGATGTGTATGCAAGATTTCCCTTGTTTATGAAATGTTTATTTTAATTTCATAGGGATTTTCCTTTTAACAGTAACAGAAATGTCTTATTTCATTTTCCCTTTGAATCATCAGTTCAAATATCCTTACTTAAATTCCTCTTGAGAGGCATACTTTTACATATATATGTTAACTTTTCCTAATTTTTCAAAACTATTTCAATAGGTCCATGTAAACCTATCCTTGTCACAGAGTATTTCAATTTTGGAAACTTTGGTATCTACACTGATCCAGAAGTTAACAGAAAACAGCAAAAAATACCTACTTACCTCTGCTTTAGACAGGTAAGTTATAAAAATTCCTACTGCACTGTGCTTTAGACAGGTAAGTTATAAAAATACCTACTGACAGCAGTTTTAGACAGGTAAGTTATAAAAATAACTACTGACAGCAGCTTTAGACAGGTAAGTTATAAAAATACCTACTGACAGAAGCTTTAGACAGGTAACTTATCAAAACACCTACTGACAGAAGCTTTAGACATGTTAGTTATTATTAATACGTATTGAAAACAGAAATAGCTACACATAATGTAAGAGTGCACACGCTAAAATGGCTTGCTTGCTTTGCAAGTCTTTAAATGGTTTTACTACAAGTATCACATAACCCTTTATACATCAATTATCCATGTAAAGAAAGTCAAGGTCAGACAGACATGTACACCTTATAATCATAACATACACCATAGATAGTTAATCTAAAAATATTGCTTATAGAAACAGACCTAACCATGAAAATTCAACATTGACCATACCAGACTTAAAAAGTATAACTTAACACTAACCAATGAACCATGAAAATGAGTTCAAGGTCAGATGAACTCTGCCAGAAAGACATGTACACCTTCAAAACTATTTTTCAGATTAACAATTTGGATATTGAGTTTTTCAGTTGAGAGCTGTTCAATGAAACATACATGTGGACCATTGAAGTATATTCAAATCTCTGCTTTGTATGGGTATCAGATATTTTTTATACACTTAGAAATAGATTAAATTCTAAAATTGCCTCTCTATGAGGTTACCCCATTTTCAGGGTACCTTCTGTATGTACCATGTATGTTTTGATTTAACAACCCAGAACATTTGAACATGCTGTATGTTTAACTATACACCTTATGGCTATTTTGAAATCTGCACCCGTAGGACCAGAGATTCTGCGCCGCTTGAACTATTGACATCATACAACATTCACTTTTTCATTGTGCCGTCAGATATTTTGTTTTATGACGTCAAAATTTTATGGGAACCTTTGTGATGTCCAGTAATTGCGGACAAAAAGTGATAAGGTGTGTTCTGTCAGCAAAGGGACAATCCAGGTAAGGCTTGGGTCAGTATAAAATAACTGAATTACCTGTACATATTGTTTATTACAGTGCTGCAGATAAAGGATCATTTTGGTGTCTAGCTTTACAGTCACTAATGGCCATGTACAGTAAAGATACAGTATTTACTTTGGACTTTAATTCCTTGTTGGACAGGTCAGTTTGATGTCACAGACTAACAAGATGTATAGTATATACATGGGAGAATTTTATCTTTCTTTTTAAATTGATATTTGTGTTGTAAACCCTATACTAAATCATTCTGTTAATTAGTTCTGTTGGTTTGTCTTAAATTCTAGAAATTAATGAATAGAAACAGCATTAACAGAAAGCTTTCAACCCCCCCCCCCCCCCCCCCCCCCCCAATGCAGGGGCTACCCAGGTTAATGATAATGCAGGATTTTGGTACATAAAATGTTGAATTCAGACTTTCAAAAAGGAAAGATTTGGCATAATCAGTGATTTGTTGAAATTGTTTTTAATCTCAATACATGATATTTACTGATTTCATAAAACAAATCTTTGTGGTCAATGTTGTTGACAGTACAAATCATTTGGTTTGCAAGAATAGGCTACTCAATATTGATTTATAATCTTGAGGCATGGTAATGATGCAATATGACTGGGAAATCCTTTCTGACATAAGAACAAATCATAATTGTCATTTTTCTTTGATATGTTATTATTTGCATCAGTGAAAGAAAGCAAAAGTATTTCCATTATTTATGATAAAAAGATATTGAAAGATTTAACTGAAATTTCTGAAGTGTCTTAGGGTAGTGTAACCAATTATGATACTGGAAATCTGGATAAACTGTGTCAATATATTAAGCCTATTTGAATATTGGAATAGTTAAATTTCATTGTTTATTCTTTTAAAAAAAACAGAAATCGAAAATTTTCTTTTTTTTCCATCAATGTAAACTTTGTAACATTGACTACTTACATTTCCTACAGTAACTATCAGTCAAAATGTTAAAAAAAGCTTTTCATTGAAAATAAGATAAATCATTTGAAAGCTGAAAGAAGTGTGCAATTAAAACTTTATTTTTCTCTAGATGCAGTGAGTTAGATGAGAATAAGGTACAAGTCCTGCAGGTGGCAGCACCATACCTAACAACAGAAAACAAACACACACTAGCAGAGATAATGGTAGCTAGAATGATGAGTGCTGAGCCTATCTTCCCTGTCAATGGTAAATCAAATCCCTAAATCAAAATGAGGAGATCTGATCAATGAAAAAACTATTTACCATGTAGTATTCAACAATGAATAAAGTCCAACGATATAGTAGGCTATAAAAAGATAACAAAATGTGAGACGATACAACAGAGAAAATTAATGGAGAAAATTAAAGGAAAAACTGTTATGACAGACAGTAAACATTTAAGTTTGTAAATGCAACTTCACTTTTCTATAGACTATTACAGCACCAAAAGCATTGTCATGGAAGTAGTTAACATTTTATTCTCAATATGAATGCAAGAAGATGTATGGTATACTTTAATGAGACAGCAACCCAAGAAAAAATACCTAAGGACATCTGGATTGCAACATATCCTCTTCAACAATAGATAGGTGTTTCTACAATATGTCAAGCTACTGTAAATTCAGAAATTATTGCCAGGTTTTTATGAATGCCAATAATAATGCTAATGGTTGAGTAATGCAATGATAAGAACTTGCATTCTGAATTTTGTTACAAATATCAATATGCAGATTTTCCTGAAATCACAATAATTAATCTTGCATTTTTGTCTATTCTTTAAAATTGCAATTATAAATGCATGCAATTATTTCTGAATTTTAACAGTATCAATCACTGAGATTCTATAAGTTTCCAGAAAAGATCCATTTTAGAATAAATACTCCTGACATAATTAATATGGTATATACCATCTCACTTCAAAGAGGACAGCTAACTGTTTCCATTAACTTTGTTAGTGATAACAACATTCACTACTGTTTGAAACACTGCTTCGAAATCATTTTTAACCGGATTTTCGATGTAAAAATCAGTTATTGATTTGGGGATGTATAGTGGGCGGGCGGGTGGCTGCCAAACAGTGTCCATTCATTTACATAAAAGCGCTTTGAAGAAATTTTTTCAAATTTAGATATGTTGTTTCCTGTGACTAAATGAAGGTCAAGTTAAATTTTCACAATTTTAGCTTTTCTCTTTAGTCAGTTACAGCTCTTTTCCAAGAATTCAATTTTTGATGAATGAATCCATTTCTGTTCAAAGGGAAATAACTCATTTTTTAAAAGTTTTTTTAAAGACATTGTATTAATGAAAAATGACATTTTGGATTTTTTTTTCCTTTTATTTGGTAAATTGTTAGAAGAACTTTGTGGCAGTTTGTTTGTTATTCTGTATAAACTAATTTTTTGAATGCTATATTTGTTGTGTGTGTTAATTTTAAATTTTACTTGATCCTGTTTGGGGTTCCAGATTTGCAAATTCATTAGATAATTATCTATTTTTTATTAAAGGATATATTTCATTACATTACATTGTGTAGATAAAGTTGTAGAATTTCATAGATAAGTTGCAGATCTATATTAGTTTGTAACAAATGAAAGAAAAAATATTGGGAACTATAAACTATATATATAAAGTTTGCTTACACTAAGTGTTTTTAAATGATTTTCACCTTTTATCAAGATAACACACCATCTGGTAATTGTCAATCACCCAATTATAATTGGAGTAACAGATTTATTTGAAAACTATTAATTATATTAGATTATAATTTGAAAATAGATATAACATCATATTTAATTACATCATATCTAGTTTTAGAGAACTATAGTTAAATCATATCAAATTTTAGATTTACATTACTGGTTCATGGAAATAAGGTTTGAGTTATTTCCCTTTGAACAGAAATGATTTAACTAAGAAGTATTTCATCAAAAATTGAATTCTTGGGGTTCTTTGATATGCTGATTCTAGCAATGTACATAGATTTTGGATATTGGACCATAATAGGTAAATGTCCAATTTCAAATTTTTCAGTTCTTTGACCACATTTATTTTGTGTCCCTAACCTATGCTGTATCAAATATTCAATCACGATCCAAATTCAGATTTGTTTTAAGCTTAAATGTTGTGTCCATACTTGCTCAACTGTTCAGGGTTGGACCTCTGCAGGAAAATCCGGTTTGCTGTCTCTCTGACAGCCTTTTGTCTTAATTTTATGTCTGTGTTATTTATTTAATTGTTATATTATAGGTGGAATTCAAGCACTTGCTGTATTGAATAGTATTGTCACAGAGACTGGTGAAGTTGATAGCTGTCGAGATTTGATTGAAGCATCAATGTCCCAGATTATGACCTGGAAGGAAGATAAAGATGATTTTCTGCTATATTCAAGGTAACTTGTATGACAAATAATACCTATACAATTTTACTATAATCCCTTGCAGATAGTATAGACCAGAAAGTAAGATTTATTGCTGAAAATGTTTTTTTTTGTTTGTTTTGTTAATTGTAGAATTGATTGAAACATCTGATATACTTTAAATACAACAGGTAATCTTTTGAAGTTATTTTCTAAAAAGGCTTTAAAGAAGAATAATTGCTTCAACCCTGTCAACTTTTTTTATGGGGATATAGCGATTCATTGGTTCTAAAATTGGGTGCATACATTTATTAAAATCAACTGTTTGGTTCAACCCATAAATATATATTTTCAGGAATATATCTATAGTATTTTAGAGAAATTCGTTTTAGTAGGCTTAAGTACTAATTTGCTTTTTATACGACCGTAAAAAAAATTTTGGGTTCGTATCATGTCGTCGTTGGCGGCGTCGTCTTCTTCTGAAGACACATTTAGTTTCTGGACAATAACTTTAGTTAAAGTGAATGGATCTCTATAATAGGTTCAATACCACAAAAGGAAGGTTGGGATTGATTTTGGGGGTTATGGTACCAACAGTTTAGGAATTAAGGGACAAAAAGGGGCCAAAATAAACATCTTTGTAGTTTCCGGACAATAACTTGTGTGTAAGTGTATGGATCTCTCTGAAATTGTACCACAAGGTTTCATATCTCAAAGGGAAGGCTTGGATTGAGCTTGGGGGTAATTGCCCCAAACGTTCAGGAATTAGGGGCAAAAAACAAGCAATTTTCTAATTTCAAGACAATAACTTGTGTTTAAGTGTATGGATCTATCTGAATTTGTACTACAAGGTTTCATACCACAAAGGGAAGGCTGGGATTGAGTTTGGGGGTCATTACTTCAAGCGGGGATCAAAAATTAGGGGGGTTCATATTTTTTTTCTTTGAGTTTTTTTACCACATTTATTTTGTGTCAGAAACCTATATTATGTCAAAAATTTGACCACAATCCTAATTCAGACAGTATCAAGCATGAATATTGTGTCCAAACTTTCTCCAACTGTTCAGGGTTCAATGTCTGCAGTCGTATCAGGCTGCACTCGACGAAGCATTTTATTTTTCTATGTCTACTTGGTTGAAATAGTCCTGACTTAACTAATGCTTGTTTAGTGATTTTGTATCTATGGCATTTATTAGAATTTTTACTCTTTGTAAGTTAACATGAATATGAAAAGCAAAATATTTTTAGAACATCTTCTTTAACGTAGATTGATATTTTACTTTTAGTGACATAGGACAGTCAAGGTCAGACATTATATTTGCCAACATAGAAATAATGAAGTTCCTTCAGCAGACAGTCAGTCTTGTTTCCATTTACCTGACAGACAAAGAGTGGGATTTTATAATGTGCAGTGTTGTATCATTTGTACAGGTGTGTAGAAATATGTTACTTCATTAGGTGTAGTTTTGTTTCATTAATACAGGTGTGTTAGTGTTGTATCATTTGTACAGGTGTGTAGAAATATGTTACTTTATTAGGTGTAGTGTTGTTTCATTAATACAGGTGTGTAAAATCATTTTAGTTTAACCTTCCTCTTCTTCTTCAATGAAATGTAGCAAGAAATGATGGAATAAGCAATGCATTGAATATAGAAAATAAATGTAAGCAATGACGCAAGATTTGATATTGAAAACTGATCAGTATAACAACGGTGAAATGAAGAAGGTTAAAAGAACCCAATTTTTCCAGTCAATAGTACAGAATATCCCCTTTAAATTTAAAAAGTTTTCTTTTATCATTGTTTTCTATAATTAAAACAATTTTGTATCAAGAAAATTCATAAATTTTAGAATTTCAAATGCGTTAGAAATTTGAAAATAACAATTTTAATGCATCATTGACTTTGGTAGCTAAACATCTTTATTTGACCAAAAACAAATCTTTATTAAAAGAAGATAACTATAAGGTAGTTGTAAATGATATATATGTTTTATAGAGCATTGAAGAAAGTGTAGAAAGATTACCTACCTCAGTAGAAGTACAGATATTTACATGTACAACATGTCGTCTGCTAACAACAGTAGCCAGGTGTTTACAAACAGATGTAGAAAAGTCTATTTTCCCTCCAAATCTGGTGACAGAATGGAATGAGTTTTTCAGTGAGGGAATATTTGGGGCATTATTACCACTTTTTGTCAAAACAGCAGGTTAGATTTAAAGTTCTTTAGTTTTAATTCTTTTTTATATGACCGCAAAAATTTTTGCGGTCGTATATTGGTATGACGGCGTCGTCGTCGTCGTCCGAAGACACATTGGTTTTCGCACTCTAACTTTAGTTTAAGTGAATGGATCTCTATGAAATTTTACCATAAGGTTCAATACCACAAAAGGAAGGTTGGGATTGATTTTGGGGGTTATGGTACCAACAGTTAAGGAATTAGGGGCCAAAAAGGGGCCAAAAATAAGCATTTTTGTAACTTCCAGACATAACTTGTGTGTTAGTGTATGGATCTCTCTGACATTGTACCACAAGGTTCCATATCATAAAGGGAATGCTGGGATTGATTTTGGGGGTAATTGCCTCAAAATATTAGGAATTAGGGGCCAAAAAAGGGGAAAAAAACAAGCATTTTTCTAGTTTCATGACAATAACTTGTGTGTAAGTGTATGGATCTTTCTGAAATTGTACTACAAGGTTCCATATCACAAAGGGAAAGCTGGAATTGAGTTTGGGGGTAATTGCCTGAAACGTTCAGGAATAAGGGGCCAAAAAGGGGCCAAAAATAAGCATTTTTCTAGTTTCCAGACAATAACTTGTGTTCAAGTGTATGGATCTCTCTGAAATTGTACCACAAGGTTCCATATCACAAAGGGAATGCTGGGATTGATTTTGGGGGTAATTGCCTCAAAATTTTAGGAATTAGGGGCCAAAAAAGGGGCAAAAAACAAGCATTTTTCTAGTTTCATGACAATAACTTGTGTGTAAGTGTTTGGATATTTCTGAAATTGTACTACAAAGTTCCATATCACAAAGGGAAAGCTGGAATTGAGTTTGGGGGTAATTGCCCGAAACGTTTAGGAATTGGGGGCCAAAAAGAGGCCAAAAAACACATTTTTCTAGTTTCCAGACAATAACTTGTGTTCAAGTGTATGGATCTCTCTGAAATTGTACTGCAAGGTACCATACCACAAAGGGAAGGCTGGGATTGAGTTTGGGGGTGATGAATCATAAGGGGGTTCAAAAAATTTGGGGGGGGGATTTTTTTTTTTTCCTTTTTTTTTTCTTTTAAAATTTTCCATTTTAAGTTGGTTATTTCTGATTTATATTTAAAAGCAAATAATAATGATATGGTAGGAGATACACACCAAACAGGATGTGTAAATTATTATATAATAAGTATTGTGCAATAGCAAGAAATTTTCAATTGCACAGTATTGCACAATAGCAAGAAATCTTCAATTGCACAGTATTGCGCAATAGCAAGAAATCTTCAATTGCACAGTATTGTGCAATAGCAAGAAATATCCAATAGCACAATATTGCGCAATAGCAAGAAATTGTCAATTGTACAGTATTGCGCAATAGCAAGAAATATTCAATTGCACAGTATTGTGCAAAAGAAGATACCGTATAAACTCGCCTAATAGTCGATCCTACTATAAGTCGGGGGCCCTTTTCAGCTCCAAATTCTAAGGATTTAGTCTTGACCCTCGTATAAGTCGGACAAAATTTGGGCATTTTTTTTTCAGCTGACAGTAACTGAACGCCGGTAAAACCAATGCAAATCCAGGAATAATATTCATTTCTGCATTAATGTTTGTTTGGTTTGAATTTAGTTGATGCTCATCATGATAATTTATATTGCTGTTAATAATAAAGATGTATTCATTTCTCTTGTTTTGTTCACTGTTCAAATGTTAGATTAGCCATGTGTTGTTTACGTAATGCATCAATGATTTTGTAGGGTATGACTAACAACCTATTGTTTGAGAAAAGCGAATATAAACCAATATAAACCTCAAAAATTTAAAGTCAATCAACACTTGATGAAAATATTTTTCACAGCATACATAACTCGGTGTTAAATGAGCATGTACACTTCATAATTCTTATTATATTGTGATGATTAAAGGATTAAAAAAATTAAGTGAAGCTAATCAATATATTAAAATAACTAACTCCAACTCATTAGTGTCATCTGTTTACCTATCACTGATAGTTTTCACACCTTTAGTAAATACAACTCTTTGTCTCTTAATTGGGGTTATCAATGGATTATATTGGCTTGTCAATCAATTTTGTAATTTTTGTTTACCTTAGACACTTTAATGAATAATATTTTGATTTTGGGAATGAATTTTAAAATTATTTTTTGATTATTATATGATTTATAAGCATTGAATTGATATCATGATATCACAATAATGACACAATAACTCCGCTGAAAACATCCTTTCACATATTTGGTACATTGTTATCTCCTTTTCATTTTTGGTTCTTGGCTCTTCTTTTGGGTTTATAGGAAAACCATGTGACCATGAAAATCAATACACAAACCGGAAACAGTAGAATTTCAACACGAATTTGCAGAAAATGTTTACCAAAGAACAAATAAAACACAAAGACAGTATTGTAGTCATTTATTTTCAACAAAAACATTTTATTTATTGATTTATGTAGGTTTGGCAATCAAAAACGTAGTTTTGCCCAGGAAATTCACTCCTGACCACTTTTCTCAAGCTTGGATTTTTCCTCTGGTCGCTAGATCTCCTCTATAAGTCGGCCCCCCTCTCTGGATTATGAATTTTACTCCCAATTTTCCGACTAATAAGCGAGTAGGAACGGTACTTCGTATAAATTGCTTATTTCTTGACCAATTTCAATGGGGTTTTATTCTTGAATTCTTGGGGTTCTTTAATATGCTGATTCTAACCGTGTATTAAGTTTTTGGATTTTGGGCCCCGTTTTTAAATTGGTCCACATTGAGGTCCAAAGGGTCCAAAATTAAACTTTGTTTGATTTCATCAAAAATTGAATTATTGGGGTTCTTTGATATGCCGAATCTAGCCGTGTATTTAGATTCTTAATTTTTGGTTCCGTTTTCAAATTGGTCTACATTAAGGTCCAAAGGGTCCAAAATTAAACTAAGTTTGATTTTAACAAAAATTGAATTATTAGGGTTCTTTGATATGCTGAATCTAAACATGTATTTAGATTTTTGATTATGGGCCCAGTTTTCAAGTTGGTCCAAATCGGGGTCCAAAATTAAACTTTGTTTGATTTCAACAAAAATTGAATATATGGGGTTCTTTGATATGCTGAATCTAACCATGTATTTAGATTTTTGATTTTTGGGCCCCGTTATCAACTTTGTCCACATTGAGGTCAAAAGGGTCCAAAATTAAACTTTGTTTGATTTCATCAAAAATTGAATTCTTTGGGTTCTTTGATATGCTGAATCTAACCATGTATTTAGATTTTGGATATTGGACCATAATAGGTGAATGTCCTTTTTAAAATTTTTAAGTTCTTAGACCACATTCATTCTGTGTCAGAAACCTATGCTGTGTCAAATATTTAATCACAATCCAAATTCAGAGCTGTATCAAGCTTGAAAGTTGTGTCCATACTTGCCCCAACTGTTCAGGGTTCGACCTCTGCGGTCGTATCAAGCTGCACCCTGCGGAGCATTTTATTATTTTTTAGATTGAACTTATATACATATTAATTCTATATTTTTATTTTGAATACCAAATATTTATATAGATTCCACCATAATACTGCAACAAGTGTGTTACGATATTTCTCCACTCAAGATAGTTTAAACTTGATATTTTAAGCACGAGACTTGCCGAGCTCTTTAGATATTAAAATTAATTGTTGAGAGTGGAAAAATATCGTAATACACAATTTTTAGTGATGGAATCTGTTTCTCTAATGATTCATATCTTTCCTTTTCAAATATTTACAGAAAGTTGTGTTCTTTATTTGTGACTTCATCAGGCATGGTCACCTTTTTTCAGGATGTCACAATAGGAAATTCAGTAGAATTCAAGAAAATTTTACGTCATTATTAAGTTTTGACCAATCATTTGCTGAGAACAGATATTTCCCTAGTGAGGAGAAATATTTTCTCTTTTCTCACACCACTCAAGAAATGTGAAAATAGCACAAAAATTAGAGAAACTGTAATTTCCTGTTTATTATCCAGTTATAAACCAGTTACCATATTCTGTATAGCTTCATATCTTTAAACCATACATGAGACAATCCTATCTACTGTTAACAATTGCTGATTTGTTAGTATTTTGTAATAAGAGCTTATGTGATTACTTCTATGGTGATTCTTATAGAATAAAACTGCAGTAGACATTCAGTTGAAGTATGTAAGGGTATGACAGTATTGCCTTAGTGTGTCTTTGAAGATGTGACAGTACTGCTTACAACTGGCTTGAGTTTGACAATATGGTCATGAATGACATACTCTCAATTTGGGTTGTGTAATGTCTTACTGTGCGTTTTAGGTTGTGACTGTGATATGAATCTTTCACTGTGAGTTTTAAGGTGTAGTTATGTCACACAGATAAACATTGAATTTCAAGATGAAAAAACAATAATTATGAGAACAGAACACAGTGAATTATGGATTACAGACATGAAAACACATAAACTGAATAGAGCAAACACAAAACACATAGCAAAAGTATCCATTATAAACTATCATCTGTGTAGCATCAGGTTTAAAAAATGATGCATTTATTATTATTTTCTTTGCAGAGAATCACACTGAATCAATTACTGGTCAAATTTATCTTCTGCTGAAATCACTATCTCTGTCTGTCTGTCAGTGTCCAAAACAACAAGTATTAGATCACAAACTTGCCGCTTACCTTAAAGCTGATGATACAAGTGGTTTACCTGATTCCTTGCAGACCTTGCTTAATCATGTATGTCCATTGTTGTCACATGATTTCAGAGAAGTTCAGTTGGCAGCATTTCATCTTTTGTACAGGTAATTTTATTAGAGAATATATGTAAAAGAATATTTATATAACTAACAAGAGTATTTTATTTTTCCAAATTTTTATAAATATGAAATTTATATTCTAAAAAAAAGCAATCGAAGTTTTGATTTCCTAAAGATCACAATTGTAATATTTTAGTTAACTTCTTGTTTTATCATTGAATAACTTTTTGCCTGATCTCTGAATAACTTTAAGTGTGATTCTTCCATTTATGATATATGCAGATTAAGTGTATGTCTATTCTGCTATGTAAATTTTCAGTATAATACCAGAATTACCACAATATGAAAAGGAAAGTAAAGATTCAACAGAAGAGGAAGTTTCAAGGTAACAACATTTATATGATGTGATTAAAGAGCTCATGAGTTATAGTATTGACAGATTTTATATTAAAGAGCTCATGAGTTATAGTATTGACAGATTTTATATTAAAGAGCTCATGAGTTATAGCATTGACAGATTTTATATTAAAGAGCTCATGAGTTATAGTATTGACAGATTTTATATTAAAGAGCTCATGAGTTATAGTATTGACAGATTTTATATTAAAGCTTATGATGAAAATTTTTTGTACATTTTCTATGGAAAATAATTTTCTGTAAAACAATCTAAAAATTACAAAAATATTTATAATACTCTCTCTTTCTTAATAAGATATAGTAATGGGGAGTCTGTCTGTCTGTCTGTCTGTCTGTCTGTCTGTCTGTCTGTCTGTCCATTCATTAGTTTCTCATCCTTCAGTGCCAGTTTTGTATCCCCAACTGCTAATGAACAGCTTTTTAAAAAATCTTACTCACATGATATTATTTTGCAATGTCCATTTCATGTCGGTTATCTGCATGAATTTTGGAGTGACGTAAATTTCTTGTATGTGCACACTATAGTTCACATTTGTATCTGATGTGTTCTTAATCCTTAATCATAATGAAACTTTCTCAGAATCTTTAGGATATAATGCCATTTTGCACCTTCTATTTTGTTTTTTTGTTCAAAATTACTTTTTGGGTTTTCTTTAGCATAACATGGACTTTGCAAAGAACCAGGGTTATCATTTTGTAAGATTTACCAAAATAGGTTTTGATCTTTTTTGTTGTTCCAGAGTTATGAGACTTAAGAGTCTTTAAAATGCACCATTTTGCACAAATACCAATTTACGACCTTTCAACATTTTACTGAATTATAAAGTAAAATGATCTGATGGTACATGTATGTACAAAATGTATATGGTTTGATGATTTTCCAGTGATAAGTGACTTTAATTGTTAAAAACAAGCCAAATATCATATTCTTAAAATGACTTTAGTATTATTTTTTTTGTAACATGTGTGCTTTGGTGGAAGAATGGCTGATATGTCAAGGACTTATAGCATTAAAACAATATCAGAACTAGCTGTGTTACTGACAAAAGCAGAATTATATGATTTATGTTTGTTTGTTTTGATGATAATTGCCATAAAAATATGAAATTACTTAGAAAGGATATACCGGTTGTTTTATAAGAACAGATCTGGTAGTTACTGTTTTACTGAATTGTAATTATTTCTAAATTTATTTTCAGATGTCCCCCACAACAACTGATGACTATACTAGTTGATGGTAGTAAATTAGAAGTACTGTCATCTAGTCTGAATGTGGATCAGTACCTGAAAATCACTCCATTTACAGATGATTACACACTAGCATTGTCCTATTTATTGACCTGGAGATTGCTGCTATACTTCTTTAAAAGTTCAACAGCAGAGGTAATATGTATTTCTATAAAGATATTTCTGTAATTCGAACTGTTACAAATAAAGGGAATTGTTTGTTCATTAAATGCATTGATAAACACCAAAAAATACCTTTTCTTTAAACTGTATTCAGTTTAGTGATTGCATGTATAACAGTTCTTACTGTTGTTTAAAAGTGTAGATAGTCAGACAAAATGAAATCATAAAGATCAATTTATTTGATAAAAACATTTAAAGAATTGTGTAAGAGATCCTCAAAGGGGTCAATTAAAAAAAAAGAGACCACTGTCTCTCAGAAAAGGAAAATTGGACTAAAAATTAAATTTCTGCCTCTCTTTTCCTTTTAACTTTGCATTGCTCTGATAGTTGAGCTCCAACAATCCTACATCTAATGTATTTTGTTAAGCTGAACAAATTTATCTTCACACCTCATAAATTACTGTTAATTTCACTTGCCCTGAAATTTTATTTTTATTTTTTATGAGGCTACCTCCATTTGATCCTCCCTTATTGGACACCAACCAAAAAAGGTTTGAAAATTTGTCTTTGATTAAGATATTTGGTAGGGGACTATGTATTGCCATGCAATACTCACAGAATGCTTGTTTCTATTTACAGATTAGACAGGAATATGCTATCTACTTCCGACAGACAGGTCTGGTCCACCAGTTACTGTCTAATATCTACAGACTTATGCCTGATAACCCTACACAAGATACTAAAGTCATGTTTGACAGAAACTTTTCTTTAAATGTTGCAAGTAAGTTAAATTTATAAAATATTTTTTAAAGAATGACATTGTTGTGATTAGGTCAGTATAAGAAAAACCACTAATGTTAAGTCAATGGTTTTTGATAAGCAGTTCTATCAGCATGGGCACATCTCATTTCCATGAATATTATTTTGGCCTGCCTTCTCAGATGGCTGGATGGCTGTTAAAGGTCCAGTGGCATATTAATTGCATATTCATGACTAGAACATGATTATGTGATATTAAAAAACCTGCTTTGTACTAGAGCAATATGCTGAGCCGGATTTTGAATGTTCTAGTTCATAAGGTCCTTAAAAAGACATGTCACCCTTCCTGGACATTATTCTGACTCACAGAGCCGACAAGTCTTTGCTCTCACTCCTAAATGCTGCATGCTTAGTGGAGAAGCAGCAATTACCAATTTACAAGTCTTTGTTTTGAACACATGATCTCCCGCACTGTATGTGAGCACAAGACCACAGAGGCGCTCACACCCCCTCAGTCATGGACTATTGATTTTCAAAGTTTACATGTTTTAAAAATTTTGTGATAACGTCAGTATAAGGGGGGCCGCTTTTGATAGGTCAATGATTTATGATATGCAGTTGTATAGGCATCAGCACGTCTCATTTCCATGGAGATTATATGGCCCTTCTACTTCAATCATTTTTCCTTGACTTTGAATGTTTTGCATAGTTTACACGTTTAAAGTATTGCTATTTTGATTTCAACATTTGCATCATACTATCAAAATTGCATACAGACGAGACATATCTCTGTCAAAAGTTTATTTCTCCAATTAGTATGCGGTCTGTTGCTATGAATAAGTTTGTTGTTTAGTGTCTTTGCTACTTAATAGATGCTGCTACAGATAAAGATATTCCATATTTATCCTGTTATGTATATAGACATGCCTTACAGACTGTACCAGCCATGGTGAGGACTTGGTGGAAAGAGCAAGACAGAAAAACAATTAATTATGTTGATAGGTAAGTTAATAGATTAGAGGTTTGGGAGATCAGAGATCAGGGGTTTTACTGTGTTACTTTATAAAAGTTATACAGATAGTAACATCTATCTCATTTCTTTTTAATTCATTTTACAAACTTAGATCTGAAGTTTTGTTTTTCTTGTAACGTATGTCCTTCCTATCTTTAAAATGAATGCATGATAAAAAAATACACACTTTTTTTAAGGGCAACTATTAAGTTTAAAAATTGAATATAATATTCAAAAGTTGTTCAAACCTTCAAATTTTTTTAACAACTTGTTGGTCTTGGTGATGTCATACTGGGGATTCATTTATTTTCGTGGGTATCAATTTTCGTGGATTGAGGAAAACTTGCATTTTCGTGGATATTTGATTTCGTGGTTTTGCCAATGTCTGCATATAAAGCCTACAGAAAATTTGTAGTTTGTTGAACATTTGACTTCCTGGTTTACCTATACCCACGAAATCCACAAAAATTGGTATCCAACGACTAATAATGAATCCACAGTATATATTTATCTTGATATCATTTGCTTTTATAAGCCTGTCAACTCTGAGGTGAGTTTGAACCCCACTTATGGCAGGTGTGTTTGACTCCAATCTTAATTCACTGAGATTGTAAGTTCTCCTGCTGAAGGTCAGTAGTTCTAGTTCCATCTTGGTACTCTTGCAAGAAAAACTGACCCCATGATATTGCCAAGATACTTAAAAGTGGATTTAAACACCAACAATCAATCAATCAATCATTTGCTTCTATAAACACAACAAATTACAAAATCCATTATTGTCCTGCAATCCTTAATATATTTATACCTTTTCTTACATCTATCATAAATACTTCTTACAGATTTACGAGTAAACATGTGAGCCAGATCTTATGTACAGAAGAAATACAACCAGTTAGTAAGACAGATATACAGTTAGAGAATATAACAGTAAGTCTTACCTACTTTTAATCAAATTTCTCCACAAGCAATATGTTGGTTGTTGATACACTAATTCTTTCTTTCTATAGGTATGAATCGCCGTTCTATATCGGCACACTCCTGCATAGTAGGATGGCTAATGCGCTATATACAAATATATACCTGCACCCACTAAAAACTCATATCAACACACAAAAGAAAGTGCCACTAATCCACCAATTCATGCATATATATATATATATATATATACATTGTATATAGCGGTAACGGTAAAAGCGTGCTGTACAAATACTGTGTTGTCATTTACATGTTTATACATCGTGCATTACAGTGCAGTTGCGGTTAAGATGGATGATAATTAATGCGCATAATGATCATCATTGCTCCATGCCTAAAATTACTACTAATTAACTGTGTATAATTTGGTAGGTTGATTATTCAGTGAATTTTAGATTTTTGGTTTTCAATTTTGCTGTTATAAATACCTCAAAACAGGAAACATCATGACAAAAATGATACAATACTTAAAGTTGAAAAATCATTTTCATTTCAATTAAACATATATATATATGTTAATACAGTAATTCCAACTTAATAGGGTCCTTGGAATATGCCCCTTAGAAGGAAGCCTACATTTTAGGATTTGCATGATTATTTTCTGATCAATTATTTTATTTGTTACCTTTATTGCAACCTATATATATATATGCTTTTACTATTAAATGATATGACCACCTTAGTACATCCCTGATTTAGGGGGGGCTTTGTATTTTATGACACCTTCATGATAATTGCTATGAAACATTTGTATTTATTAGTTACACATGAAGGTGAGGAATGCATCATACATGGAACTGCTAGTTCTTTGACATTTGAACAATGGAAAGTGCTGAAATCATATAGCAAACTCTATTAAACCCCTCTCTTTATGAAATCCTGTTAGATCAGATATCAATAAATAGAGTTATAATTCCATAAAAAAAAAAAGCCTAACGGTCAAGGTGTTTCCTTAAAAACAGGAATTTCTGTCATCATTTGTGACCTTGCTAAGTAGTTTTTTTTACACATCAGTGATCTATTAATACATGTAAAAAGAAAGAACATGATCAATCAATTCCTAACACTCAACCTCAAAATGCACTTAACAAAACACAAAGTTAAGAAATATTGCTTTTGTTGCTATTTATTAATTTTGTAAGAATGTTTTTTTATGTTATTGTATCCATTTCAGATTAAGACAAGACCTATAACAAGGGAGGTAATAGCTACATACTCTTTGGAAGAGGTTACCATAGAGATGGTGATAGCATTACCTGAGAACTATCCCCTCGGTACAATAACAGTAGTCAGTGAGAAAAGAGTGGGTGTGTCAGCAGCAACATGGGACAAATGGCTGCTTCAACTGAATGTTTTCTTACAGTATCAGGTAGGTTTATGTCTCTGACTGACAAGTTGGGAAAAGATACAATTTAAATGTGTGTACATTTAGTCCTGTTTACTTTCCAGGAGGAGGTATACTTTTCAAATGTATTTGACTTTGTAAATATTTGTGAAACTTAACACGCAAAGTGTTATTCTTGCTTTAATATTTGTGATGATGTAAAATTGCCGTGTGATCTCATTAGTTTGCTCAACCATTTCCTAATCAGGAGATTTTGTAATGAAAAAAAAATGCTTGGTGACAATTTGGAGGAACTAACATAAAAGTATAATTATTTCCCAAAAAAAAATTTATATTAAGCTATTTGGTAGTTTCATTATCAACTGTCTGTGTACATATTTATTGTGCTCTTCAAATGAAGTTTCTGTGATCTTTCTGACCTCTGAACCCTACATCTTAAAAGCACTAAGATATATGGATGATGACCAATTTTTCAACAGATCAGTATAACATATTGACATATATTCATTTTAAAATATAGATGTAAAAAAAAAATGTTTAATTTACAATTGATTTAATTGTGGAGGGCTTTTGAAAAAGAATGAACACAAATCCATCTTGAAACCTAAACATACTTACTTTTTTGAGTGAATATTGTATATAGTACATGTAAATATATTTGATTTTATGATGTAATTCAGAATGGTAGTATTATTGATGGACTAAGGATATGGAAAAGAAATATAGACAAGAGATTTGAGGGTGTAGAGGACTGCATGATATGTTTCTCTGTCATTCATGGCACAAATTACCAGCTTCCAAGACTCACATGTAAAACTTGCAAGAAAAAATTCCATTCAGCATGCTTGGTAAGTTGTGCATATATATTGCATCTTTTTGTTAGTTAAAATTCTTACTTAGAAATATTTTTAGAATTCAAGGTTAGAAATGTGATGAAAAAAATATGTCTGATGGTTACTTTAAAAAAAAAAAATATTTGTGTATCATTGTGCACCCAGTATGGCAATTATTTTCTAAATTTAAGCAAATTTCAATAACACAATCCAATAAATAACAACTTAGTAACTGAGTACTTTATCAGAACTCGGTAATCATAGCTATCATATTCATAAGGGTAAAATATACTGCACAGTACAACAGACCAAATATACCACCAACACCAGACTCCTCTGGAAAAAATACCCTGATATACATACAAAGACAAACAACAACTAACAACATCTATCTTACACTGTTTAAAGGATTCAGTTTCAAAGAAAGCTTTTTTCACTTTTCAATTGGTTGACAGAACATTAAACCAATCATTTGAGTTAAATGATTATTGCCTTAAAAATGAATCAAACTTTCTGACAAAAATTTGATTACTTGTCTATTCTAGACAGTACTGAAAAGTGTGCATCCCTATAATAAATCTTTTTGAGTATCCATTAAAGTGTGTTTTCAACAGGAATTATCATTTTTCTTTTAATTTTAAAATGTTTAAACCAGATGTAAGTGGATACAGGAAGATATAGGGTAAACAGCAATGAGACAGCCATCATACACAACACTATATGCCAAAGTTAATTGCATTGTCTATCGTTTCAGTATAAATGGTTCCAGACAAGCCACAACTCAACATGCCCATTGTGTAGGAATTTATTTTGACAGACAGGAAACAAGCAACTACCAAAAACTTTCAAGTTATTTATTGAAATAAATACTTTTATGAAAATTTGATTTGTTTTTATTTTGTTTTGCTTGTATAAATGAGAAGGTAATAATAAGACCACTTTTTGACCCCTTGAATACGAAGATCATTAAATCTTCAAAATAACAACATCCTTCAAATGATCAAAAGACATTAGTCTTTCAGATATCAGTATCTATATTATTGAATATTGTTGTACATATTTACATTAATGCTACAAACCTCTTTAAAAATGGTAAAAACTGCAAAAATAGCCTCATTGTGAGATTTTCTCATTAATTTTTTTTTCGTCACATCCGAAAGCTAAACCCAAAAAGATAATTTGCTAAAACATGTATTTTCCAGATGCTAATGTGTGTAAAATATCTATTTGGGTAGGCCATGGTTAATATTTATTTTGTCTCAAAACTATGTTTAAATGTAAATTTTTGGTGAAATATATCAATTTGGACATGTTTATGACATCATAAGTGACCTTCCTGCACTAAAGTGTCCAGATTTTATCAGCTTTTATCAGCTTGTTCATTTATCAATAAGATTAAAATAGTTTTACTGCTTTTGAAATTTCAGTGGCTAAATAATGGCTATTATCATGCATCTTCCTGTGAATTAGACTTTGTAAAGTGCAAAAAGTTAATGAGATAATGTACTATACTGACATGCTGAGTATGATAACTACATTGCATTGGATATAAGTATTTGTCACCTACAATTTATTCACAACAAATTTATAACCAAATAGGTATATATTATATGAGAACTCTACTTCTAGAGGTATTAAATTGATTAAATTTGGATAAAAAATTATGGTATACATGTAATATGAAAAATCATAAGTGATGAATATTAATGTCTATTCTAGTATTCTTTGATCAGTACTTTATGTCTTTAGTCATTTTTGTTTGTTGTTTTTGTCTTGCACAGAATGAGAGACATAGCGATTACAATGTGGCAGTGGCAGCAACAGCTTAAACTATTTGTTTAAAGCTTTGTAATTCAGAAGACCTGGATGCTTCAAACCTTGTATGCAAACCTTGTATGCATATGCCTTATGTTATGAAGTTTTCGTCTGTCATATGTCCATTGTCCTTGATCTTATTTTCATGGTTCAGTGACTGTTTGAAAAAAAAGTCTTGAATTTCTCACCTATTATGAATAATAGGAAAAATATATTTGGTATATGGGTTCCTTGCAAGATCTAAATGTCCGTCAGACAGGTTTCACCTGACCTCAACCACATTTTATGGGTCAGTGATCAAGGTTAAGTTTACATGGTCAAGTCCGTATCTCAGATACTATAAGCAATAGGTCAGCTATATTTGGTGTATGGAATGATTGTAACATGTACATGTCTGATTGGCAGGTTTCATCTGACCTTGGCCTCATTTTCATGGTTCATTAGTCATCTGATTTGGTCTATTTGTCAGATACTATAAGCAATAGGTCAACTATATTTGGTGTATCGAATGCTTGTAATGTGTATATGTCTGCCAGGCAGGACTCATCTGACCACAACCTCATTTTCTTGTTAATCAAATGCTAAAAGCAATAGGCCAACTTTATTTGGTGTATGAAACGATTGTAAGGTGTACATGTCTGTCTGGCAGGGTTCATCTGACCTTGACCTCATTTTCATGGTTCATAAGTCAATGTAAAGTTTAATTGGTTATGTTTGTTTTTCAGATACTGTAGGCAATAGGTCCACTATATTTGGTGTATTGAATGATTACATGGTGTACATGTTATCTGGCATGGTTCATCTGACCTTGCCTTCATTTTTATGTTTAATTGGTCAGTGTTTAATTTTTTATAATTGGGTCTTTTTCTCGGATACATAAGTAATAGGTTAACTATATTTGATGTATGGTATGATTGTAAGGTGTACATGTTTGTCTGGCAGGGTTCATCTGACCTTGACCTTATTTACATTGATCATTGATAATGTTGATCTAATTTGAAACTTATAGTAAACCCTTTATATTACACACTATCAACATAAATTCAATCATGTTTAGCATTTTAGTGTGTGTACTCTTGTTTAGCTTTGTGTCAATATGATGATTCAAGCCCTTTTCAACATTTTTTTTCAGTTTTTAAAGGCAGTGCCTTAATGCCTTTCATGGTATCAGGCATTAGACATTTTGTTTCTATGTGGGGGGGTAAATATGTCACCATTGAAATCCTGAAAAGTGGAATTCTTTCTCCTTCTATTTGTGATATTCTGTGTTTTTTATTGTAATTCATTGACAGTGTGAAGTAAAGGATCGAACGGTGTTTTTTGTAAGTTTTCAAAATTTACGATAGAGTTGCATTTTGCATTATGAGCAGTCAACCGATTGACATACTGATATTACTTAAAAATCCGTGTGAAAGAGTTGGGGTTTATTTCGAGTGGTATTTTAATCTTCAGTTACTTTTAAGATCGTTTCAGTCGTTGGTATTGTAAAAGTCTAATTTTCTGGTTCATCAATTACAAATAAGTCTGAGTTCAAGGGTTCTTTATTCATCAATTGTACATCACATTCATTCATCTTACAATTACATACACTAACCCTGGAATAACAAATTAACAATGATTAAGGATATGAAGTAAACACAATACAATTCAGTTTAATAAAGTACTAAACATTACACTCTTAATACTAATTAAGTTCACACGTTTTTGTGTATAGTCAAAACATCCTACATCTTGACCTTTAAAGCGTTTATAGTACTACAACAATTATAATCAATTGATCAGAATGAATGAATACTATCATCTTTTATTCTATACAAACGGTATATGCTATGCGGTTTGAAAATATCAAAATGTAAATTTACAAACAATAAACATCAACTTCACACAAATTATCATTACGGAGCTTTAAATATAATATAAATGAATCATCATTTACCATCAATATAAATACACATTTTTAACTTCATGAGAGTCTAGCTTGAATGTACATAATCAGGGGAGATAATCCCAGTGTAATATTTCCAAGGTGACAATGAAATTTTTGTCATAGACAATTTATACAGGTAAATATAAATAAAATACAATTGCAATCAATATACACAGTTAAGTAAACTCACCAATTTGTGGAACTAAGTTTGTACAATATATAACACCAACAGCTACACTATTTAACTTCTATCCTATAGTTTCCTTATACAGATCAACATATCATGGATCTACTGGTCAATATATAATATGATAACCTGAAATCAATAATACAATTCTAAGTACAAGATTCTATTAAACAAATAAATCTTTACAAAAAGGTACTTTCATTTATAAAAAAACATAATATCATCTGACTTGTTTACATTAATATGTCTACGTCATTATTGATAATACCGTACCATAACATAGGTCAAGGTCACTGTTAAAATAAATCAAACTCACCCATACAGCAATACACAAAACTATCAAATCATATAATCATCTCTCAAACTCAAATCTCACTCTCACTTGGACATTGGGGAATATTACTTTTACCTTGCATGTTATTAAAATATCATAATCAGGATTTTTACTTCATCCATCTGTCAGAACAAAGGCTCTCAATGAAAGTAAATGTAACTTACCAAAATATGCTTTATTTGTGGTTCCTGACTGAATATAAATGTATCCAATATAACTGAATGATTCGATCCTTATATGAAAAGTAAATACAAAGACTGGATACTAAATAATTAAACTGATGAAACTTTTATAAACAAAGACCAAAATTGACCAGCCATTAAATTAAATTTCCCTCTGTCTAATTAATCACAAGACCTCCAATGACCAATAGAATAAGACCTAATCACAAGTAGATTGCAAACCAATCACCTTCTAATAGATAATACAATAAATCGTCTGCAAGAGATATTCAAAATTAGTACATATAGTATAGTCAATGCAACCAGTATGAATGGCAGAAAGTCCACTCTACCACAGTATAACAATGAAAAGTCGACTGATCTATGCTTAGTTACCACATGTCAATAATAACTTAGTTTTCTCGGGAATCCGATTATTTTTCTTTTTCTCATCACTGCCATCAGAACATTTGGTATGTGAATATTGTCGAAATCCGCCTAAACTATCAATATCCATCTGGAATTCATCGAAAACCAAAGCTGTTGTAAAATCATCTGACCTTCCAACATAACTATCATGTCAGACCCATTGTCATCTAAACAATTTCGATCTATTAGTCCCGATAAAAGTTTTTTTTTAAATCCGAAACTAACAGTGCCAAAGTTGACATGTGGAAAATTCGATACATTCGGGTTTCTACCTCTAAAAAAAATTGAAAATGTAAAAACCCGAGCGTATCGAACTTATTTGATTTAACGGCCCAACATGTCCAATGCTTGATAATAGTTTGATAGAACAAGCAACAGGTGATCGAATATTAATTATTCGATACAGCTTCTGTTTATGGCACACGCCAAGGATGATTAAAGGTAAATACCGGCATTAATAGAAATTTGGAATGTTGTCAAAACTATGACAAAAGTCGATCGGAAGGTTTTGATGCCGAAAAAACATTTAATAAACTTTCAACTTGCCAAAGAAATACTCACTATTTCACACTCCAATGCGGACATTAAAGACCTATCAGCATGGTCGAGAAGTTCCGAACTGACAGCAGGGTCAACAATGACTCAAAGACAATACACATCCTCCCCAGTCACTGTGTTTTGATTATCAACCCCACAAACTGTTACAAGGATCAGGATTACTTTAGCAGGATGGGGAGGATCCTCTTAAATGTGATAAGCCATTTTCAACTGATTTTTATAGTTTGTTTTTATGTTGTGCTGTTTCACCACTGTCCCAGGGTAGGGGAGGGTTGAGTGTTCGCAAACATGTTTAACCCCGCCACATTCTTTATGTGCCTGTCCCAAGTCAGGAGCCTGTAGTACAATGGTTGTTGTTGGTTCATGTCTGTCATACTTGTTTTTCGTAAATTGTTTTGTTTTAAATTAGGCCGTTAGTTATCTCAATTGGATTGTTTCATATTTTTCATGTCGGGGCCTATTATAGCCGA